CCGGGGATGTGCCCGCAACCAATGTACATGCCCTTGATTGGAATCGAACCTGGGACCTTTCAGTCCGCAGACCAGCGCTCTACCACTGAGCCAAACCGGCTTCGGCTGTAAGCAAAGCTTTTAATGGTTTCCTACGATGCCCAAAGAATGAGCTTGTCCACGTGTCACAGGCACAGCACACCACGTCCCATGATGTCACTCTTCCCAACAGGGGCAAGTTCACCCTCCAGGTCATTCAGAGACCCCAGGCCTTCTCCAGTCTCCCTTCCTCCTTCCGATCTGCCACTAAATTACGCTGTTTTCTTAGGACACACAAAACACCTGTTATCTCTCTGTGTGGCAAGGCCCCGGTCACCGTCTGCCCTCTCTCCTAAACTACAAAGTTTTCCAGAGCAATGGCCTTGCTCGGGTACCTCCAGCTGATGTCGCAGCACCCGCCAGAATGGCTGTAGGTCCTCAACAAGCCAAGTCATGACATGGAAGCGGTATTTGCTTGAATCCCACCACGATGACTCTGAGGAAAGCCTAATGCAGCAAGGGGTTAGCTAAGTCCAGGTGACTTCATAAGAAGTGTGGACACAAGGAGACTCTGGATGGTGACTCACTGGTATTAGGAACCCATGTAAAGGGGAAGTCAAAAAATTAGAACAACGGTGGCTCACTGCCGTATGGAAATGTCTGCTCTTCCCATGTGTCAGCAGGGGCTCTGCTGATCACCTTACTCAAAGCCTGTTTTACAGATGAGCAGAGTGGGGTGCAGAGAAGGGACTGAGGACACTGAACACAGTGCATACACTGAAGAAGAGTCCCCGGAGTCAGACATTTGTCAAGCAGTATTTGGAAAAACAAAAAGAACCTGTTAAAGCACAAGGAAATGAAATAGAAAGCATTCAGAGGAAGAATAAATTGGCTTTTGCATTTCCTTATTAAGACAGCCTTCAAACGCAAACAGGACAGTGGAGTGAAAGCCACTGGAGCCCTCTGATGTCCCTCTCAGCAGCCAGTGATGGCTGCCCTCCTGTTATTACCACAGCCCTTTCTCAGATGCAGATCTCGTTAGCCATTTACACCACAGTGTGAATCTGAGGATAAACAAGGCCCTGAGACCTAGAAGACCAGTCTTTCCCAGGCCAACTGAATAAGAACCTCTGGAAGTGGAGCCCAGGAATTGTGATTTTTAAAATTTTCCCAGAAGTCCGGCCAGCGTGCTCAGTGGTTGAGCATCAATCTATGAACCAGAGGTCATGGTTCAGTTCCCAGTCTGCACACATGTCCAGCTTGCAGGCATGATCCCAGTGGGGGTCGTGCAGGAGGCAGCCAATTGAGATTCTCACTGCTGATGTTTCTCTCTCTCCCCTTCTCCCTTCCTCTCTGAAATCAATAAAAACATGTCTTAAAATAAATAAAATGAAATTCTCCCATAATTCTGGCACAACGGGGTGCAATCCAGGACTGGCAACCACTTAGGAACTACAATCCCTTCATGGGACTAATAAAAAAGGAAACAGAAGACCAGAGGGGAATGAGCTGTCAAAAGCAATGGTGAGTTAGTGCTGGCCCAGACTGGAAGCCAGGCCTCCCGATTCTGGGTCCACCACACCAACTTTTGGCCTCACCCAGAGGCATGTGCCTTTGAAGTCTCATCTCTAACCGGACAGGCCCCTTCCCCACTACCTGTACCATTACCTCTGCAGGCCAATAAGCTTCCACTTCTGAAAATCCGTAATGTGCAAGGGGGAGGAGACCCAGTGCTTCACGGGTTTGGCACAGCAGCTGGAGTTGGGGACGAAGATGGACAATGCTGTCACAAGCTTCCTGACTATGGCCTCGTCCTCCCCCAGGACCACAAGTGTCCTCCCACTGAGCAGGGAGTAGATGGCTGGGTGGGCAAAGGGGTACTGGCGGATGAATTTTAAGGCATTCTGGCCGGCCCTCTTTTTATGCCTCTCAGTGAGTTGAGCAGATGAGGGAGTCCTCTCAGTGAGTTGAGCAGATGAGGGAGTCCTGTCCAAGCTGGTGGAGGCTACACTGCTCACATAGCTGGTGGTGTCCGAGTAGTTGTCCAGGCTGATCTTACTGATATCCCTGCTAGCCAGCAGCTGGCCTGGGTCCAGCTCATAGGCAGGGAAGCCTTCAGAACTGTTGTCTCGGGAAGAAGGGCTGGCGTTTTCCACTGCAAAGTCCACACAGAACCCCGGGTCCTTCTGCCTGTAGCGTTGTGGCGGGACGCTCACTACTCCATCCTCGTCAGAGAGTGCGTGGACTGGAGTGGTGAGTGGCACCAGCAGACTGTCGCTGTCCTTCCCAGTGCAGCAGGAGTCTGCTTGTGACGAAGTGTTTTCTAAACTGCCCTCCTCTGGCTCACCCAGCTTGGTTAGGCTGATGCTTGCCTGGAAGTGGATGGCTCCCTCATTGTCATCTGCATACGATTCTTCTTCATTAATAGCACTTGGGTAGCTGGCCTTAAAGTCATCAGGGATGAGGGCCTCAGAGGGGCAGGTGCTGAGGACTTCAATACTGTCCTCGCTGATGGTCCTATGGCTGGCTGCTTTGCTCCGGATCACCTGGGGGCTCAGTGGCACCATGAGGCTGGCCTGACTGTCAGACTTCGACAGCACAGAGGTGGCCTTCTCCGTGCCCAGAACCTCAATGCTTTCACCACTGCTGACACTCCCTTTCATATCCATATCCAAGTAGTCTAAGTTCCCCTGGAGATCAAAACTGTTCATTTCTGCCACCTCCACTTCCTTACAGTCCTCACCGCCAAACTCCTGCTCCATCTTGATCACCACAGATTCCACACTGGACTTGTAAGAGCCAACACTAATTAACACTTGAGGAATTGGGCATTCTTCTAGAGATCTGGAAGGTGGCCTGTCTTGACTGGGCTTAGAGGGTATGCTTTCTTGTTTCTCTACCATCCTATCATCATCTGCAAAGTCTTCAAAGAGGAAGTTTGTTATGTGCTGTTGCCTTAGTAGTGCTCTGTCAATCTGGCTAGTCAAGAGATAGCACAGGTCTCCTCTGAACATGTGCTCAATGTGGCTGAGCTGAGCCAGGGTCTTGGTAAAATACTCAGTGTCACAGAGCTCTTCCAAGGTCTTCAACTTCTTGTCAAAACACTTGGTGGACTTTGCTTTGATGAGTTTTGGGGTGTAGGCAGGTCTGCAGGTGTAAGGGTCTGGGTCAGCATACTCATCAAGGTTAGAAGTAGTGGATGCCGGGCCAGGCTGATCCTGAGCATGGTCCACCTCCCCAGAACACAAATCAGACCCCCTCAACTTCCGATGAGGGTATGAGCGGATCTGCTTCAGGAGGTCTTGATGTTCAATGATGGATTTCTCTACACTAGCCAGTTCATTGGCTTTCTCGATTGCCTGAGATGAGTAAAAGCCCTTGTCGTTGGCTTTCTTCTGGATCTCTGTCTCGGTGTGCAGCACTGTCCTAGTGTAATCCAAGTCTCTCAGCTTTTTTTCAAGTTCCACAGCAAAGGCCTTCCTGTTGCCTGACTTCAAGTACTCTGAAGCTTTGGAAAATTCAGCTGACAGCTCCTGGAACTGCTGCATGATTTTGTGCTGGTCTGCTGAGATATACGCCATGCAAAAGGGCCTCACAAAGCCACGGGCCTCCAGGTCATACAGCGTGAGGTGGTGCACGTAAGCAAAGGCTCCCTCTTTGGAGTCTCCCAGCACTACCTTGGAGTCCTCCACGAAGTTCAGCTTGGGATAGGCAGAACCAGGAGGATGGCCCACGAAGGAAGCCTGGTAATCCACAGACATGATCCGTAAGGAGAAGTAATTGAGATCAAAAGTACCGAAAACTTTGGTATCATTGGGGATAGTCAGCAAGGGCTGGGGTCCCACCTGCTCCGAGAACTCGGAAATGAGGATGAAGTCCCGAGAGAACTTGGCTCCGGAGAGTTTGGACCATGGGTTCGCTCCCTGGCTTGTGAAGGGGAAGAGCGGCACCGAGTACTCTTCTGGCAGGGCCGGCTCATTGTAAGGCTCCTCCTCATACTCGTCCTCTTTGGTGAAGGCCACCACGTCAGGGGCGCTGATCATATTTCCAGGTATGCAGAGAGAACATTGAGAGGAAGTGAGAAAGAACGCTGAGGTAATCGACGCGGGGAAGCCAGGCCTCTGCAAGAGGAAGCAAAGTCTTCGTTGCCTTCGCTGCGCCCTTGGGGGGACTTGCCTGCCTCTCACACACCCGAGAACTCAAACTCCCGCAGCCCCTCAGAGGCGTATCCCCTCACGGGCCCTCCAGGCCTCATGAACTCCGCAGGTCCCGAAGTCAGGGAGGCCGGCCGCCCTCTTCCCCTGGCAAGCGCGGCCGGCGCAGAACACCTGCAGCGAGGTCACCGGGACTTCCCCGAACCCACCGGTGACAGCAACAGCCCGGGCCTGACCTGGTACCTAATGTGGGCTACAGGCTGCCGCATGGGCCAGTCAAGCGTCTGTCGCCCCCACGACCCGAGGGCAGAAACGGTCCCCGCTCCTTGGACGCCACAACCCAAAGACAGCTACAGCGGCGCCGCCATCTTGGTATCACATGACTCGCGGTATCGGCGCCGAGTGACCCGGAAACGTTCGCGGAGTTTTCCGAGCCAGAGCGAAAAAGGTTGTGATTGAGCGGCTCGGGGCGGGGCTGTAGAGCAAGGACCAATCGATTAAATAACACTGTCAGGAAAGAAAGGAAATGATGCGAGAAAGCGGAAATGTGTTGGGACCAGGGTCCCAGGAGCGCGAGGCGGTGTGGGAGTTGTAGTTCGCGGGGAGGTGGACTCGCGCCGGGCGGAAGTGGCTGGAGAAGGCGGGCGGAAGCGGACGCGGCGGGAGCAGAGGTGAAGACCCAGTGGCCGCAGCCCCGAAGCCGGTGGGCGTGTGGGAGGAGACCGGGCCGCGGCCCAGCGCTGGCGGCTCTCGTAGGCTCTGGTTCCCGTAGGGTGGGCGCGGGGTGACCCTCACCTCTGTGTTCCCCAGCATGTGCGGGCACCCGGGATGATCTTCCCCGTCTCCCGCTGCGCGCTCCGGTGTCTGCATCGGCCCGGGGGCCGGACCTTCCCCACCTCCGCCATGGAGGTGGCCTTCCGAGGCGTGCGGAAAGTCCTCTGTGTGGCGGAGAAAAACGACGCGGCCAAGGGGATCGCCGACCTGCTGTCCAGGGGTCGCATGAGGCGGGTAAGGGGGCGCATTTCCGATCAGCGGTACTTGGGGCCCGGGAAGCGGGAAGTGTTGGTGGGTACGGGGAATAGGGATGAAGGCGACTTCTCTCCCACCTGTGGGACTTCTGACTCCCCCAGACCATTGCAATGGCCTCCTGTCTTCTCTTAGGACTGATGTGCATTTAACAATGTAGTTCTGAGGTTTCACTCAAATGCTTTAAAGCCTTGGATCTTCCTTGCCAACAGCAGTGGTTGCCAAACTTGTCTGATCCTCAAAACCACTGGGGCAGTGGCTCTTCGGTGGACCTAGAGTGAGACTAGGCCCGGTGATCTGTGTCTCAACGTTTTTCCCTCCGGATTCTAAAACTCGGTTAAGTTGGGAAGCACTGACCAAACTCCTGAGCAGCCACGCCCTGCCCGATCCTCCCCAGGTAGCCTCGCCCTCCTATTTTCTGCCATTCCCTCTGCGCAGTGCAGCGCCGCTGACTTGACTCCAAGTGTGTGTTGGCAGGGCAACATTATGTAAGGTTTGGGGCTTAGAGGCAGATGGCAGCCCTCAACCCGTGGTCCTTGGTGCCAGTTCAACAGGAATTCCCAATTTGGGGTCACAGTGAAGAAGGAAACTATTCAGGGCAGAACAGTTTCAGCTCCATCTGGGAAACTGTCTTAGGTGGGGAGGGGAAGGGTTCCAGTCCCTGTCTAGTCCTTCCCCAAGCAAATCTTCGCGCCGACTCTCACCTCAGGTTGATTGGTCCCAAAGACACTATGATTGGTCAGAATGGGGTTCTCTGATTGGTTCGTGGAGAAGCTGATGAGGCTGTGGCAACACTGCTCCGATTGGATGGGGAAAGCCTCATTCCCATTGGTTGAAATATTGTTCCAGAAACTCCTTAGTAAGGGCCATCTTAGGCGACAAAACAGTGTATGCAGGCAGTTCAGTGCAGGCTTCTCTGTGAAGTGCAAATTGCGTGAGAGGCCCCTGTGAAGAAATGGCTGGTGGGCTCTGTTTTTTGTGTGTTTTTGTGGGGGGTTTTAATTAGAGAGAGGGAAACTTCCATTGGCTGCCTCATGCACGCCCCCTTCTGGGGATGGACCTGTTTGTGACCCATCAGGAATGGTACCAGTGACCTTTGGTGCATGGGATGATGCCCAACCAACTGAGCCACACTGGCCAGGGCTGTTTGTTTTTTAAATTTGAGCCCACTTAGCCACGAGAGTCCTTCCTAGTAGGTATCTTCTTTCTCAGGGTTCACACTGGCATTCAAACTGGTTCTCAGAGAGAGGCAAGTAAGGGGTAAGATGTTTCTAGACACTCTGGGGGCACAAAGGGAGGGGACTGTGAGAAAGGGTTTGGAAGGGAGTTGACAGGAAGGTCTTAAGAACTATTCAGGAGCCCTGACCGGTTTGGCTTAGTGGAGAGAGCTTGGGCCTGTGGACTGAAAGGTCCCAGGTTTGATTCCGGTCAAGGGCATGTATCTTGGTTGCGGGCACATTCCCAATAGGGGGTGTGCAAGAGGCAGCTGACTGACGTTTCTCTCTCATCGATGTTTCTAACTCTCTATTCCTCTCCCTTCCTCTTTAAAAAAAAAAAAAAATCAATAAAATATATATTTAAAAGAAAATCTCCCAATAACAAAAGTGGATTCTTGCTCTGTCTGGTTTGGCTCAATGGATAGAGTGTCAGCCTGTGGACTGAACAGTCCCAGGTTGGATTCCGGCCATAGAGCACATGCCTGGGTTGCAGGCTCCATCCCCAGTGTGGGGCATACAGTAGCCAGCCAATCAATTATTCTCTCTCATCATTGATGTTTCTATCTCTCTCTCCCTTTCCCTTCCTCTCTAAAATCAATAAAATATGTTTTTAAAAAAGAGTGGATTCTTGCCGAAACTGGTTTGGCCCAGTGGATAGAGCGTCGGTCTGCAGACTGAAAGGTCCCCGGTTCGATTCCGGTCAAGGGCATGTACATTGGTTGCAGGCATATCCCCAGTAGGGGGTGTGCAGGAGGCAGCTGATCGATGATTCTCTCTCATTGATGTTTCTAACTCTCTGTCCCTCTCCCTTCCTCTCTGTAAAAAATCAATAAAATATATTTTTAAAAAAATGTATTGGGGAGAACATTCTGAGAGCATGGAATAAGAAGTTCTCTGCTCTTTTTTCTTTCAAGTCCCAGGATCCTCTGTTTCTAGTGTGTGGCTAGTGAGAGTAGGAGCCAAGGTTGTTTGAGGTGCTAGCTGAGAGCTTCAGCTTTTCAGTGCCAAGAGTCCTGGTGACTTATAGGGACTGGGCCTCTTGAAAATGGCCCATCTTGCCGAAACCGGTTTGGCTCAGTGGTAGAGCGCCGGCCAGCGGACTGAAAGGTCCCAGGTTCGATTCCAGTCAAGGGCATGTACATTGGTTGTGGGCACATCCCCGGTGGCGGTGTGCAAGAGGCAGCTAGTCCATGTTTCTCTCTCATTGATGTTTCTAGCTCTCTATCCCTCTCTCCTCCTCTCTGTAAAAAATAAGATATATTTTTTTAAAAAAAGGAAAAGAAAAGAAAATGGCCCGTCTACACCTATCTTTCAGGGCTCTGTTAAATGCCTCTTCAATAACCTTTACTCAACTTCCTCCCCTGCAGCAGGTGAGGGACACCACCCAGTAATCACTGCTAATGATCCACAGGTCCTTGAGGACTTTCCTATAGTTTTCATAGTTTTATCTTTACATTCAGGAGAAAATATTTTAAATAAAATTTTAAAAATGTGTTTTTATTGATTTGAGAGAGAGGGAGAGAGGCATCAGTTGCCTCCTGCATGCCCTGTATGAAGGATCCAGCCTGCAATCCAGGCATGTGCCCTCACCCAGAATCAAACTGGCCACCTCTGGGTGCACAGACTGACTTGGGGACTGAAGGGTCCTGGGTTCGATTCCGGTCGAGGGCATGTACCTTGGTTGCGGGCACATCCCCAGTAGGGGGTGTGCAAGAGGCAGCTGATCGATGACTCTCTCTAATCGATGTTTCTAACTCGCTATCTCTCTCCCTTCCTCTCTGTACAAAATCAATAAAATTATATTTTACAAAAATACATATTACAAAATGTATGCTAACTGTTTATGTTATCATAAGCCGGTCAACAGGAGGCTGCTAGTAGTTAAGTTTTGGGGGAGTCAGAAGTTATATGCGGCCTTGGTGGCGCAGATGCTTGGAGCATCTTCCAGTTCACCAAAAGTTTGTGTTTAATTCCCAGTCGGGGTGCGTGCAGGGATGCTGATTGATGTTTCCCTGTCACCTCAGTGTTTCTCTCTGTCCCTCCATCCTTCTCATCAGTAAAAACATAACCTCAGGTGAGAATTTTAAAAAGTCATATGAAGGTTTGACTGAGTAGGGGTTGCTGCCCCAATCCCATCCTGTTCAGATCAGCACCCAGCCCCCACCTTGTGCAGGGGTCCCTTGCACTTTGGCCTCTGAGGAAGAGGAGGGGATCGCCTTAGAGAGGCTCTCGCTCAGGCATAAGTGCGGCTGGAGTGCTGTGTAGACTGACCCCAGTCCTGACTGGTCTCATAGAGCCCATAGATTTCAGAGCTGCGGACACCTTAGAGGTAACTTCACTCAACACTAAATTGCGGTTCAGAAAGGTGAATGATTTGCCCACATTTACGGTTTATTGTTACAATTTTATAGCCAGGAAGTAATAGAAATATGTGGAGAGCTGAAACCGGTTTGGCTCAGTGAATAGAGCGTCGGCCTGCGCAGTGAAAGGTCCCAGGTTCGATTCTGGTCAAGGGCATGTACATTGGTTGCGGGCACATCGCCGGTGGGGGGTGTGCAGGAGGCAGCTGGTTGATGTATCTCTCATCGATTTTTCTAGCTCTCTATTCCTCTCCCTTCCTCTCTGAGAAAAATTAAAAAAAAAAAAAAAAAAAAAAAAAAAAAAACAAGAAAAGAAATATGTGGAAAGGGGAAAAAAAATCAAAAGTTATGCCCTAATCCTTTCTCTGCCATTAATTTGTCTTGTGACCTTAGACAAGTCTATTCTCATCCATAAAAAGACGTTGTATTAGCTGGTCTCAAAGCTCAGCATGGAAACTCCATGGGCTTTATCAGGTCCATGCTTGTAACTGTGTTTTGAGGGACCACTAAATAAATGGTGTTGGTGCTGAAATCGGTTTGGCTCAGTGGATAGAGCGTTCGATTCCGGTCAAGGGCATGTACCTTGGTTGTGGGCACATCCCCAGTAGGGGGGGTGCAAGAGGCAGCTGATCGATGATTCTCTCTCGTCGATGTTTCTAACTCTCTATCCCTCTTCCTTCCTCTCTGTAAAAAATCAATAAAATATATATTAAAAAAAATAAAAAATAAAAATAAATGGTGTTGGTAAGTTAGCCCGGCCTCTGTAGGAAATGCTGTTCCATTTTTAATATTCTCACTTAGCAAGGTTTTGCTTGATCTTTATGCTGAAGAATCTTTTTTTTTGTAATTTATGTGTTTTCTTTGTTTTGTTTTATAGAGGGAAGGACTTTCTAAATTCAACAAGATCTATGAATTTGATTATCACCTGTGCGGCCAGGTGGGTGGTACAGTATTTCTATCGGACAACAGCGTGCTTTCAGATCAGCTGCCCCTTTGGTGTACATTCTTTCCATGTTTAATCGTGACTAAAAAGAGCAGCTGTTTACTACAAGTTCTCCCTAAATTGCTTGTATTTTAGAATTACTTAAGAAGAGTTAGCCTGGCCATTGTAGAATATGCACCATCTTTTAAGAATAACTATTGTTATGATCTAAAGAGCCTTGGTTACAGATGACTGCTTTATAATTTGTAAGGAAGTCTCTTTTTAATAAAATATGTGGCCCCATCTCAGCTGTTTTTATAACAAGAAAGAAGCTAATGTGTAACAGTTTGAAGAAACTTTAAATGCTACAAAAAGCATCAGGATACTAGAATTAAAATGGTGATTTTATTGTATTACTATGGCTTTTGTCTCCAAAGAACTGTATTTATGTTTGTTTCTTCCCGATCATCTGGGTTTTTTTTGTTTGTGTATTTTTTTTTATAAACTTATTTTTTTAGAGCAGTTTCAGATTCACAGCAAAATTGAGCAGAGAGGAAGGTACAGAGAGTTCCCACATACCCTCTGCTCGTCCCCACCCCCATACACACACACAGCCTCCCCCATTATCAACACTCATAAAGAAAAGGAAAAAACAAAAGAACATTTCTCATCACAGTGGTACATTTGTTATAACTGACAAACCTACCTTGACACATTAGAATCACTCAGAGTCCATTAGAGTTCATTGCATGTACTTTCTTTGGGTTTGGACAATATATGTCTCCATCATTATTTCCACTGCCCCAAAATCCTCTACACTGCCTGTTCATTTCAATCCCCTCACAACCATTTTCATTTCCTCAATAGAAGTTTCTCCCTTTTATTTGAATGATGTAGCAAATATAATTGCTAAAAGACTGACTCAAATTTTGTTGCCATTTAGAATGTCACCATGATAATGACTTCGGTTTCTGGACATTTGCTGGCTCATGATTTCCAGATGCAGTTTCGTAAATGGTCAGTACAATTCTTGGGGAGCAGAACTTGCAGATTATTATAGTAAATTGTAGAACATGACAGGAGTTTTTAAAATAAATTTTATTGATAGTTTTACAGAGAGGAAGGGAGAGGGATAGAGAGTTAGAAATATCAATGAGAGAGAAACATCGATCAGCTGCCTCTTGCACACTCCCTACTGTGGATGTGCCCGAAACCAAGGTACATGCCCTTGACTGCAATCAAACCGGGACCCTTGAGTCCCCAGGCCAACACTCTATCCACCCAGCCAAACCGGTTGGGCCATTACAGGAATTTTGAGGCGTATTGATCCTGTTGTGTAACCTATAATATTAAGATGACTGAGTTAGTTCATGCTGTTAGAGTGAATACCACAGATGGGTTGGTTTATAAACAACAAACTTACTTCTCTCAGTTACGAAGGCTGGAGGGAGGAGGTCAGAGTGCCAGCAGGGACCGGGTGCCAGCCGCTGGCCTCACTGCGCCTTTCCCTGGTGGAAGGCCTAAGGAGTTCGTGTGGCCTCTTTGTAAGCATACTGGTCCTACTCCTGAGGCTCTACCCTCATGACCTAATCACCCCCAAGGCCTCACCTCCTAACACATCACTTTGGTGTCAGCATTCCAGAGTGTGAGTTCTGGGGAAACAGTGTGAGGCTGTAGGAATGACCTAGGATGAACAGGCTCACCATAGGCTTAAAATAAAGAGCCTCTTGTAGTGTTCGCCCCAAAATAGCCAGGACTTGGTCATGCAGTCGTTGGATGCATTTATCTGACAGCAGATATGCATGGGAGACTTCTAGAATTTCTCCCCAGCAGCTCCTGCTAGTGGTCCTGGGAAGTGGGAGGTGCATTGTGCAGAGAGTCTGAGTCTTGCTTTTGATCCTCTGGCATTTTCATGCGGGACTTTTTCTGTGGGGAGCCCCCCCTGAGTCAGTGGGGTAAAGTTTCTTCATTAAAATGGAGGATTCCCGTCGTGCTGAGGTGAGATTTTTGTCTGTTTCTATTTCCTTTCTAGGCAGAGCTGCAATCCTCTTCTCCTCTTTGAAGCAGAAATTGAAAAGTACTGCCCAGAGAACTTCGTAGACATCAAGGTGGGATCCTTCGGAAGACGTGGCAGTGGAGATGAACAACCACAGATAATTGAACGAGTGATTTCTGTGTGTTGAATTCAGAAGCAGAGTTCCCCGCCAGCCTAAGTGCCATGATTCAAAAAAAGGATTCCCAAAATGAGGCCATTGGAACTAAGTGGCAAAGGGACTGGAGTCGGCCTTTTTATGAATAATAGTTGTTTAAATAAACTCTAAGAATAAGTATTGTTAAATTACTAATTCTAGCGCTGACCCCATCTCTAGTTAGAATGAAGGGTCTACAAAGTGTGTCAATGGTCCTTTGACAGTAAATTGTGAGTTTTCAAGCAGTCAGAGCACCTGTAGTTAATCCAGAGCTGACTGGGAAACCCTGGGATGAATCTCAATTAGGGATCCGTTCTTTTTTAACCAGAACATAAGCAGACCCACCAGAGCAGTGGTCAGCAAATTCCTTAGTCAAAAGAGCCAAATATCAACAGTACAATGATCGAAATGTCTTTTGAGAGCCAAATTTTTTAAACTTCTTATAACACTACTTCAAAGTAGACTCGCCTAGGCCAAAGAGCCACACTCAAGGGGCACATGTGGCTCTCGAGCCGCAGTTTGCTGACCACGGCACTAGAGTCGCATGTGCTGAGAACGGAGTTTAGGTCACTTTGCTGGTGTGGTTGCATTAACCCAGGCTTCTGGAAGCTCAGTGCTGAGTGTGACTCTAAGCTGGAGCGTGTGCTAGTTTCTCCACACCCTTAGAACTGGTGAGCATCGTTTGCTCGGTTTCTTTTTCTCACCATGGTGCCCGTTCCAAGAACACTGTTAATGCTCAGTGGGCCTGTTTGTGGAGAGAGACAGAGGAATCCCGCTGCGGGCTGTGCTCTCACTGCTCTTTCCCTGCGAACTTCAGAAAACGCTGGAACGAGAGACTCGGCAGTGCCAGGCCCTGGTGATCTGGACCGACTGTGATAGAGAGGGTGAAAATATTGGGTTCGAGATTATCCACGTATGCAAGGCTGGTAAGTGATACCCCTCTGAGTTCCGTTCTTCGGGAATGCATCCAGATCATTCTCCGGCATGGATGTGTGAATGCTGCGCCTGAGCTTCTCCCAATACCCTTCCTCCTGTGTGTCCCCGAGCACGTCACCGATGCCGTGGAGCCTCGGCCTCCTCCCCTGGAAAGCCGGCCGCCTGGCGCAGTTCCCGGCGCAGCCACGCAGCGCTCCACAGCCCAGGCCTTACTATCATTCACTCCGAGTACATTGCCAGCTCCTTGGAAACAGGGACTTTATTTTAAAATATTTGTTATTGATTCTTTTTAAGGGAGATAGTAAGGGAAAGGCAGAGAGAGAAATATCAATCAATAGCCCCCCTGGCCAGATAGCTCAATTGATTAGAAAGTTGACCCAATACAAGAAGGTTGTATTCCTGGTCAGGGCATATGCAAGAACCAACCAATGAGTGCATAAATGGACAACAGTTTGATGTGTATCCCTCTCAAATCAATTTTAAAATTACGTTTGTTGAGGTAACATTGGTTAATAACATGTAAGATTCCTTTTTTTTTTTTTTTTTTTTTTTTTTTAATTTTCATCCAAGGAGTCGGAATATTTTTTCCACTGATTTTTACAGAGGGGGGAGGGAGAGGGAGGAAGAGAGAAACATTGATGTGAAGAGACACGTGGATGTGTTGCTTCCTACACTTGCCCCAACTATGGGTGGCAATGGAGCCTGCATCCCAGGTGCATGCCCTTGACCAGAAATCAAACCCAAGACCCTCCGGTGGGTCACTTAACACACTTACCAGCGCAAAATTTCATTTTTAAAAAATCTATATTAATTTTACCACCTGAACATTAATAAATGGTGAAGTGAACTTAAATGTGAGTCTGAAGTTATAATGATTCCTGAAATTTTTTAATTTAAAAAAAATTTTGTTGTATTGATTTTTTATTTATTTATTTATTTATTTATTTATTTATTTATTTATTTTGAGAGAGAGAGAGAGAGAGGAAGAAAAGGGGAGAGAGAAAGAGAAGCATCGATGTGAGTGGGAAACGATTGGTTGCCTCCAGTATGCACTTCAACTAAGTATAACCTGAAACCTGAGTATGGGCTCTGACTGGGCATCGAACCCACAGCCTTTCAGTGTGTGATGGCACTCCAGCCAGGGTGACACCTGGCATTTAAATGCATTAACTTTCAGAAGTGCCTGGCTAGCTCAGTCGATAGAGCATGAGACTCTTAAATGCATTAACTTTCAGGTATAGTACCCTGTTTCCCCGAAAATAAGACAGTGTCTTATATTAATTTTTGCTCCCAAAGATGCATTAGGCCTTATTTTCAGGGGATGTCTTATTTTTCCATGAAGAAGAATACGTTACACATTTATTGTTAAATGAAAATAAAGGAAATTTATTACCTGTATACGAAACAGTAGTATGGTAGTTGTCAACACAAATCAGACAAACTGTGAATCCTACAGTATCAAGAATTTACTCATTCAATGACAATCATATCATCTTCTGGAACATCATCATAACAATCCAATTCCTGAATTTCCTGGTGAATTTCTTGTGACTCCATTTCTTTCAGAATCAGTGGACCAAATCTCTCATGTTTAGCCTAGGGGGGCCTTATTTTCGGGGGGATGCCTTATATTTCACTCAGAAGGAAACCTGTAAGTAGATCTTATTTTCGGAGGATGTCTTATTTTCGGGGAAACACAGTATATATGTTATTTCCATGATAGGACATGAAATTCCCTCATAGGACTTATTAATTAACATTTATCTTTTCCCAAAAGGTCTAAGACCAAGTGAAATTAAAGTCTTGAAAGGCTCACCAAGACGGTCTCAGTTAATTGCTAAAGTTAGCCCGCTATAGTGGCTGGCAGTGCTCACCTTGGCGCTATAATGAATTCCCTCTCAGAAAGCATATTGCTCATTCGATTGGATGCTTCACAGCTTTCTTCGTTCCAGGGAGCCCTTTCTGATGAGAGGGCAGTGTGACCTGGTTCTGACCTTGGTGACCATTTCTGTTTGCAGTGAAGCCCAGCCTGCAGGTGTGGAGGGCCCGCTTCTCTGAGATCACCCCCCGAGCCGTCACCATGGCCTGTGAACACCTGACCCAGCCCGACCAGAGAGTGAGCGATGCCGTGGATGTGCGGCAGGAGCTGGACCTGAGGATCGGTGAGGCCCACCCGCTCCTCAGCCGGCCGTGCAGCCGTTTGGGTTTTGGTTATGGAACCAAGAATGAGGCTTGGGTGTAAATATGTGCAGCTAGCTTTGACCTTGCAGGTCACCATTTTCTTGTTCTTCCTTTCCTTCCTCACTTTCCAGGAGCTGCCTTCACGAGGTTCCAGACCCTGAGGCTGCAGAAGATTTTCCCCCAGGTGTTGGCAGAGCAGCTAATCAGTTACGGCAGCTGCCAGTTCCCGACACTGGGGTTTGTGGTGGAGAGGTTTAAAGCCATTCAGGCTTTTGTGCCAGAAATCTTTCACAAAATTAAAGGTAGGGCGGGGAGGTGTTCATGATGTGGAACCGCAGGCCCAGGGTGACCAGGGCTCCATGAGCATCGGTGGCGTTACTTAAATGTTTAGTTTTAGTGCTGATCTTTATTCTACCCCATTACCATATTCAGAATCCACTTAACATTTCCTCAGTGACCTTCTCTATTTCCTATGCTTTTGACCTTCGCTGTAATGCTCCTAGTTTACCTGTCCTATCATGCGGCTGAGGCCCCGCCTTCCTGTTTGTGTTTCCCCGATAGTAACGCATGACCACAGAGACGGCGTCGTAGAATTCAGTTGGAAAAGGCATCGTCTCTTTAACCACACAGCGTGTCTTGTCCTCTATCAGCTGTGCATGGAGGTAAGAAGTGTTTTGAAATCTCAGTGATCTGGGAAAACTGTAATTTCCCCAAGTCAGTCCCTCTCTGTTGGTGGAGGTGATTCTGTCCCATCTCCCCCTGAGCTGTAGCTTTCAGGATATCACTTTTGGGGACCAATAAGAGTAGAACCTCATGAAAACAGCACTAAAAATTGTGGGAGAAAAGGGCCTGTGGAACGTTTAGGTAAAATGAGAAATGTTTACTAAACTCTCCCCTGAAGCTGTCATAGCAGCCAATAAGGACCAGCTGGGCCAGTGCAGGCCGCGCGCTCTCAGAATGGAAGGAGCTGGGAAGCTTCTGGTCTGACTTTTTTTTTTTTTTTTTTTTTTTTTTTTAATATATTTTATTGATTTTTTACAGCGCGGAAGAGAGAGGGATAGAGAGTTAGAAACATCGATGAGAGAGAATCATCGATCAGCTGCCTCTTGCACACCTCCTACTGGAGATGTGCCCGCAACCAAGGTACATGCCTTTGACCGGAATCGAACCCAGGACCTTTCAGTCCGCAGGCTGACGCTCTATCCATTGTGCCAAACTGGTTTCAGCTGGTCTGACTCTTTTGGCTGTTGGTCAGAGGAAATCTAAAGAGATGACAATCTAAATGAGTGAGCAGGTTCATTTTACACAGTGATGAAGGACCGGAGGTAAAAGTAGCATAAGTGAATGGAGAATGCCAGGGGGAGCAGGAAGGTGGCTATTCCAGGCATGGTGGTCAGGAAAAGGATGTCAGGAAAGGCCGAGCGATCAGCAGCAGGCCCCACAGGAGGCCCTGGGAAAGCGTGTGCCGATCAAGAGCACAGCACATGCATAGGAATGGCTCAGCCACAGGCCAGTCCGGGCCTCAGCTGTGTCCCTTAGACTGACTGTCCACTTTGCCATGCTGCTTCTTGCCAGTCAGCACGTGACTGCCAGTGTTAGCCCGGGGCTGCACGCGGGGGCACCTCAAGAAAACGTGGAGCTCTCTGATGCGTCAGCTGTGCTTCTCAGCTGTAGCCCGTTGGCAGGTTTAGCATTAATTTGCTAAGGGAAAGTAAAGATATTGAGTACCTGCTTTGTGCCAGACACACCGTGTTTACATGTGATTTTTTTTCTTTCTTTTTTTTATTAAGGTATTATATGTGTACATATCTTACCATTGCCCCCCCTCAACATGTGACTTTCTTTAGAATACTGCCTACACGGGTGGTGGTCTCATTTTAGAGATGAGGGGCTAGAGGGAGTGAAGGAACTGCACAGACACATTGGAGCCAGTAAGGGGCTGGGTCCCAGTGTGTCTGACTCCAGCTCCTGCAGACCACGCTGCCTCCCAGGAGTCACTTGTCTGTCCACAACTTCACCCTTTGACTGTGAAGGTCACACAGCCACCCTGCACACTTATCTGTTCAGTAAAAAAGACCTGACCTTTTACGTGCTTTGTTAGGATACTAGAGGCTCAGTGCACAAACTTCGTGCACTGGTAGGGTTCCTAGTGGCCGCTGGCTGCCCACCAGGTACTTCCTCCCTTCCCCTGTCTGTCTGCTGCCACTGCAGCTTCCCTTCCTCCCCTCTTACCCTTCATCACTGCCACCACTGGCCAGGGCCCCTCCCATTCCCTGGCCAGCCCTGTCCCCTGGTCAAACTCCCGGTCGAGGGGACAATTTGCATACTACACTTTTGTTATGTAGGATAGGATGGTGGAAAAAAAAGGCAGGTGGGATGAGCTCCTTATCAAGAGCACCTGGTCCCAGTTTATTTGGAAAGAGATTTGGATTTTGATATACAAATATTCTCATTACCAAATCACTTAAGTTGAGTTCTTTTTGTACTTGAAATCTATTAAAAGTGTGAAGTTGTCTTAAAATTAGACCAACTTCATCTTGTATTATGTAATTTCTCCTATTTCTAATTCTGTATTATTAAGAATTTAAAAAAAAATAGCCAAAACCGGTTTGGTTCAGCGGATAGAACATCGGCCTGCGGACTGAAAGGTCCCAGGTTCGATTCCGGTCAAAGGCATGTACCTTGGTTGTGGACACATCCCCAGTAGGGGATGTGCAGGAGGCAGTTGATCGATGTTTCTCTCTCATCGATGTTTCTAACTCTCTATCCCCCTCCCTTCCTCTCTATAAAAAATCAATATTTTTTTTAAAAAAAGGAATTAAAAAATAAGTAGCTCCATGCATGCAAGATTGGAGACTACTTAGTTGAGGCGCAGGCTGCTGTCGTTCACACGCTCCCGAGGAGGCACCGGAGGGCTTGTGAAGCTCCCCTCCTGGTCTTGTTTGGGTGGGAAGGTGGTGATGGCGCCCACCACACTGGACGACGGGCCAGTTACATGGAGCGCTGCCACGGGATGAGAGGGCCTCTGCCGATGGTGGGTGAGCAGCATGCTGAGCCTGGCCTTGCAGGAAGGCGGCAGAGGGTGGTGCCCGCAGATCCCCATGCCTCTGCTTCTCTCGGCTTTCCAGGACCCCAGGGCGACTGTGGTGGAGGTCAGTTCTAAGGCAAAGAGCAAGTGGAGGCCTCAAGCTTTGGACACTGTGGTATGTTCTGGGGATTGCGCCAGCCCTGCCTTCCTGTTTTTGCGGATCAGACGATGGCCCAGTGACATCACTCTCCAGGGGGCCACACAGGAAAGCGTGTGGAAAAAACACACTCCAAACCCTGGGCCTGCTTGGCCTCTGCTCTTGCATAGTTAAGTTTTCCGTGCGATGTCACTATTTTATGTGGAGCTCGGGAAACAAAAAAGGGAGAGAGCCATCACCTCACCATTCTTATGTAATTTCTGATGTAACCTTGGTGTCTTCCTTTTTTCATATGCTTATTTTTTACGGAGTTGTAATTGGAATACTTTGTTTTTCCTAGCTAAGTTCTTTTTTTTAAAAAATGTTTCTGCATAATATATAAGTATTTAAATATCTACTATATGAGCCTACTCAAGAACAAATGTTTTGACCCTCTGAGCCCCACCCAATGGGACACAGCCCGAGTAAACACATCGGGGTTCCCTTTCCCAGCCACCCGAGTGCAGGAAGTCAGAGAACATCTGCCGAGGCTGACCCCGGAGGCAGAAGACCAGCCAGCGCCGCTCGGGAACGCCCGACTGCGGGAGGGCGCCGCGGGGGCGGGAGAGTGAGCATGGGCTCCAGCCCGCAGGCAGCAGCGCTCTCCCCCGCGGGCGGCTCTGCTTGCCACGTCCCCAGCATTGCAGGATGTCAGCCAGCTGAAGGGGCAGCCGGCTCTTCCGCACGAGGCTGGCAGAATGGCATTCATCATTGAGGGGAACTTCCAGGATCCGAAGGGTGTCCCAGACTGGGGTGCCCAGGCTGTCTGTGAGAATCTGTGCTGGATGCTTGTTAAAAATGCAGATTTCCTTCCCTGGCTGGGTGGCTCGGTTGGTTGGAGCATCATCTCCTACGTCAAAAGGTTGTGGCTTCAGTTCCCAGTCAGGACACATACCTAGGTTAAGGGTTCCATCCCCAGTCACAGCGTTCGCAGCGGGTAACAGAGGGAGTCTTGCTCCCTCTAAGTGACAGCAGCGGAGCGACGGGCCCAGCCAGGCCGGAGGGAACAGTGTGGCTGTGCGTGCCCTCTGGCTGCACTGCACCCTAACGTGCTGCTGGCGTTCACAGGAGCTGGAGAAGCTGGCATCTCGCAAGCTGAGAATAAGCGCCAAGGAGACCATGAGGATCGCCGAGAAGCTCTACACTCAAGGGTAAGTGTCTCCCCTATGGGTAGAATTTGATGCACCTTATTCAGCGTGGAATATTCTAGAAATAGAGTTTATGGGGAAACACACTGTCTAGCTGTCACCTGAGCTCTGAAGTAGAATTTTGACACTTCTCTCCTAATAATGGAAATTTATTTCAGAATCTCTTCTAAAGCAAAGGCCCATTGAGTAAGTTCAAATCCCAGTCTTGATCCCTCAGCAACTCCTGCGGGCCCTGGCAGGCGGCAGGCAGCACCTTACCTTTAGAAGCTGTTTGCCTGCTGTAAGCCATCCTGCCTCAGGGATCGTGGCCCCCAGTGCCATTCAGGGACCGTGTGATCCACAGACTAGTACTGCAGCCACACGCTACGGCTGACTGCCGAGTGCTGAGATTTGGGGTGTGTGAATTAGGACGTGCTGAAGTGTGAAATATAATCTGGGTTTCAAAGATTTGCATGGAAAGGAGAACGTGGACAATCTGGGCAATGTGGGAGTGGCCACCGGGAAGCTTTAATTCCACGTGGGGCCTCCGTGCGGCTCACAGCAGCACTGCTTTCTGTGCTGAAGAGCAGCGCGGGGTGCACACTGGCAGCTTTCGGGCCATCGTGGGGCTGCTGTCAGACTGGCCTAGGGAAGGCCCTGGAGGTGCCCGCACACAGCTGCTGGCAGAGCTGAGCTGTGTGAGTATGCCCTTGCTGTGCCCTCCATTACTTTATCCTTTGGCTTCTTTGCGTCTCATCGCAGGAGAGCCTGCTGCTTCTCACCCCTTTGTGGGGGCGCGCCTCAGGACTTCTGTCCGTGTAGGTGACCACGGAAATTTGCATGGCTGGATCAGATGAATGATTGCAGGTGTCGCCAGGTATTTTCAACCAAATTCAATTTTTTATGAGCCAATCTCTTGTTCTGCTTGTGTGCCTGTGTTTTAGGTACATCAGCTATCCCAGAACTGAAACAAACATTTTCCCCAGAGACCTAAACCTGACGGCGCTGGTGGAGCAGCAGACCCCGGATCCACGCTGGGGGCCCTTTGCCCAGAGCATTCTAGAGCGGGGGGGCCCCACCCCACGCAACGGGAACAAATCTGATCAAGCTCACCCTCCCATCCACCCCACCAAATACACCAACAGCTTGCAGGTTGGTTTCCCTGGCCCTGCTGCCCCTGGCACCAGAGGAGGTGCGGGTCCATTTGGTATTGGAATCTACTCTAGGGGGCTCTTATTGCAGGAACTACATCAATCGGCTGCCTCCTGCACACCCTCAGGCATATGCCCTGACCAGGACTCGAACCAGAGGCCTCTTGGTGCATGGCACAATACTCAATCCACTGAGCCGGGCTTCTTTCTCCTTTTTTATTTTATGTTTATTTTTGTATTTTATTGATTTTACAGAGAGGAAGGGAGAGGGATAGAGAGTTGGAAACATCAATGAGAGAGAAACATCTATCAGCTGTCTCTGTACACCCCCACTGGGGATCAAGCCCGCAACCAAGGTACATGCCCTTGACTGGAATCAAACCCAGGCCCCTTCAGTCTGAGGGCCGATGCTCTATCCACTGAACCAAACCAGTTAGGACTCTTTCTCCTTTAGTAACACATTATTCTTTCTGATTTTTAAAAAATACGTATTTTTATTGATTTCAGGGAGGAAGGTAGAAGAAGAGAGAAATAGAAACATTAGTGATGAGAGAGAATCATTGATCGGCTGCCTCCTGCACGCCCCACACTAAGGATCAAGCCCACAACCCAGGCCTGTGTCCTGACTGGGAATCACCCTGACCTCCTGGTTCATAGGTTGATGCTCAACCACTGAGAGACACAGCCAGTCTGTTTTTTCTGATTTAAAAGTAATACATGTTCACTTTAGACAAATTAGAAAATGCAGAAGATTGTAAGGAAGAAATAAAATGTCCTCTAATCTTATCTCCTCCTGAGAACTGTCTGTTTTCTATGCATGTATATTATATTCTTGCATTAAAATTGCAGCCTTAAATAGTTTGTAAACTATTTTTTTCCATTTTATGTTTTCCCACATGCTGAAATGTTTTAATGACTGCATAGCTGGTCTGTAACTTATTTTGCCGAGTCTGTTTCTGAAGGATTAAGTTATTCCAACTTTTAGATACATGGTGTACTAGAGTTAACAGGTGTATACATAAATATTAGTGCAAATCTCTCATTATTTTCTTCTAATACATTCTTAGCAGGAGCACTAATGGATACAAGCATGAACATCTTATGGGCTCTGATAGATTTAGCCTCACCAAATGCTGGATTGCTGAATTGGTAGAAAATCACCAACCCTATGTTCATGAAATTGGTGTAGGGTGCTGGGTGCATATCTACCCTGTATCTCTATGTACGAGGGTGCCTGTACTTCTTACGCTTTCACCTTGCTGTCTGTTTAGGTTGGGTTTACGGACAAAAAGTCACTTCCCGCTGTTGAGGGCAGCCTGATGACTAGAGTGGTGAAGTTGATGAGCCCACACCCATCAACTCACGGGGCTGTGGCCTGGAAAGACCTACACCGGGGCGGCAGTGCTGCTGAGACCTGAGCGGTGTTCTGGAGGGAGTTTCAGGCTTTCTTTTCTTCACAGGGAGATGAACAGCGGCTCTATGAGTTTATCGTTCGCCATTTCCTAGCTTGCTGCTCCCAGGATGCTCAGGGGCAGGAGACTACGGTGGAGATTGACATCTCTGGGGAACGCTTTGTGGCCCATGGTCTTGTGATTCTGGCCCGAAACTATCTGGATGTGTACCCATATGACCGCTGGAGTGACAAGGTGATAAATCATAGGTGCAGTCAGACACCCATGGGCCTCTGTGGGGAGAGGGCGGGAAGACAGTTGTGGTCCCACCCTAGAGCCATTGCATAGCCGGCCATTGCATAACCGGGGGCATGTTCCTCGAACCGGAAGCTGTCTTTTGCTGAGTGCCGTGGCACAATGGTTTGACTGACGCTTCTGCTCTCTGTAGACCCTTCCTGTGTATGAGAGAGGCTCCCACTTCCAGCCCAGCACTGTGGAGATGGTGGACGGGGAGACCAGTCCACCCCAGCTGCTCACTGAAGCCGACCTCATTGCCCTCATGGAGAAGCATGGCATTGGTCAGTAGCTCATCACCATGGTAACTAGCAGTTCTCAAGCATAACTACTATAATGTGGACCTTGCCTTATAGCTGAAGTGAGGCTCAGAGAAGTTAATGACTTAACCTGACGTCTCAAACTGTGGGTTATTAAAATGTAGGTTCCAATAACTCCTCAGTTAACGCTCTTACTTCTGCTCTGCACCACACACACACACAGGCGCCTCAGACCCTGCACCACACACACACACACACACACACACACACGCTCCCGTGACTTGCTGCGGGTTTGGTCTAGGCCAGTGGTCGGCAAACTCACTAGTCAACAGAGCCAAATATCAACAGTACAATGATTGAAATTTCTTTTGAGAGTCAAATTTTTTAAACTTCTTCTAACGCCACTTCTTCAAAATAGACTCGCTCAGGCTGTGGTATTTTGTGGAAGAGCCACACTCAAGGGGCCAAAGAGCCACATGTGGCTCACGAGTCGCAGTTTGCCGACCCGGGTCTAGACCACTGCACAGGTTTTTTGCTTTCCCAGCACATACAGAAGTTAGGTTTATACTGGACTGGAATGCAATAGCATTATGTCTTAAATGTATATACTTTAATTTGAAAACACTTTTTGCTAAAAGGTGTTAACCAGCATCTCAGCTCCAGAGCTGTGCCGTGTGTTTCCTGAGGGAGGGATTGCTCGGTGCACATGAGACGCGGGGTGAGGTGCCTGGAAAGAGCCATTTCCCACCGGCCTCGCTGGGGGCGGGGCTCTCGTAGACGCAGTATTGGGGGCGCAGGCTGAGACTTGTTTGTGTTAAATGAGGTCTCAGCATGTGACAATTGAGAAATCCACACAGAAACCTCTCAGCCTTTTGAAGTCTTAGGAGGCCACGCAGCCGGAGCCTCATCTCCCCAGGGTCTCTGGTTTGGGTTTGTGCAGCAGCCACCTCCTCCAGATGCCGGTCCCCGCTGCTCACGTGGCTCCCACCCGCCTGCCCGCCCGCCAGCCAGGCCCTGTGTTAGCCAGGCATGGCCATGGCCTTCGGTTTTGGTCAAAGCCTTTCCCGTAATTGTTTCAGACTTAGAAAGTAGTTTATATTAGGTTTATCGGGGTGATCATTTTGTAAGTCATATAGATGTTTGATTACTTGGTTGTACACCTGAACTTAACATAATATTGTATGTCAACAATAATGGTAAATTTAAAAATTATTTTTTTAGAAATGAAGTACGTTTAAAAAGAAAAGCCAGGCCATAATTGTTTTTCCCACCAAGCCCTGTAGCCAAAGCGTTACAGGTGACTCTCTTGTGACCGGCCTACTGGCCCCTCTTCTCACAGCTCTGAGGACGGTGTCTGAGCCTCGGCCAGGGGGCTCCCTGGGGGTCAGGGAAGCAGGCTGTTTCCTCTGGTGCAGCTCCTCACTGCAAAGTGAGTGCTGCAGTTCGGTGATGCAGGAAGACGTGCCCTGACCTGAGTCCACTGGCCACCCCTGGACTGTCCAGAAAGCCCGTGCATTTAGCTAAATGAGAGGCAGTTCACCCCATGACGGATGCATTGAAGTATGAGGCCTGGGCCCCGGGGCACAGTGGCAAGGCCTGGTCCTTCTCTTCAGGGGCTGGTCTAGCAGGAGAGCCAAACCAAACCAGCACTAGGCGCTCAGGCTGACTGGGCTCAGTGGGTAGAATGTCGGCCTGTGGACGAGGAGCCCAGCCCAGGTTCAGTTCCTCTTAAGGGCACATTCCCGGGTTTGGGGCTCACTCTCCAGTAGGGGGGCATGCAGGAGGCAGCAGATCAATGTTTCTCTCCCTCTCCCTCTCTTCCTCTCTCTCTCCCTCTCCTTCTCCCTCTCCCTCTTCCTCTCCCTCTCCCTCTTTCTTCCGCTCTGAAATCAGTCCCTCCCTTCGGCCCTCTCTTGGTAGCTCAGCTGGTTAGAGCATCACCCTGACACACCAAGATTGTGATTCCTGGTCAGGGCACATACAAAATCAGCCACAAGTGCATAAGTGGAACAACAAATCGATCTCTCTCCCCTTCCCTTCCCCTCCCTTTCCCCTCTTCCTTCCTCTCTTAAATCAGTAAATTTTAAAACATTAATAAATAAAAGATCTCTTTGGCCCCAGCATAAAGAACAGGCGGGTAGAGGGAGAGACCAGAAAACGGAGCCTGCGGTGTCCTGACCAGCTGGGTGAGGGGCCTGTGGCTGTGGCTCCAACTGAGCTGAGGGGGAAACTTAAAGACGCAGCTTCAGAGCTGGAGTTATAGTGCTAGTGAGTGAGTGGGTGGGAGGGTGTGAGGGAGGGGGCAGTGGCCGTCGTGGTTTCCAGATGGTCCAGAGGTGACTGGAGGAGTGGTGCAGAGAATAGGCCATCTAGGCAGAGGGAGGGCCCCTGGGGCGGAGGTCTGGATTAACCAAGTAACGGATGGCTTTCAGGTACTGATGCCACTCACGCGGAGCACATCGAGACGATCAAAGCCCGGATGTACGTCGGGCTCACCCCAGACAAGCGCTTTCTCCCTGGGCACCTGGGCATGGGGCTTGTGGAAGGTAAGGGAGGGGCTTGTGGAAGGTAAGGGAGGGGCTTGTGAAAGGTAAGGGAGGGGCTTGTGGGAGATAGGGAGGGGCTTGTGGAAGGTAAGGAGGGGCTTGTGGAAGGTAAGGGAGGGGCTTGTGGAAGGTAAGGGAGGGGCTTGTGAAAGGTAAGGGAGGGGCTTGTGGGAGGTAAGGGCGGGGCTTGTGGGAGGTAAGGAGGGGCTTGTGGAAGGTAAGGGAGGGGCTTGTGGGAGGTAAGGGAGGGGCTTGTGGAAGGTAAGGGAGGGGCTTGTGAAAGGTAAGGGAGGGGCTTGTGGGAGATAGGGAGGGGCTTGTGGAAGGTAAGGGAGGGGCTTGTGGAAGGTAAGGGAGGGGCTTGTGGAAGGTAAGGGAGGGGCTTGTGAAAGGTAAGGGAGGGGCTTGTGGGAGGTAAGGGCGGGGCTTGTGGGAGGTAAGGAGGGGCTTGTGGAAGGTAAGGGAGGGGCTTGTGGGAGGTAAGGGAGGGGCTTGTGGAAGGTAAGGGAGGGGCTTGTGGGAGGTAAGGGAGGGGCTTGTGGGAGGTAAGGGAGGGGCTTGTGGGAGGTAAGGGAGGGGCTTGTGGGAGGTAAGGAGGGGCTTGTGGGAGGTAAGGGAGGGGCTTGTGGGAGGTAAGGAGGGGCTTGTGGGAGGTAAGGGAGGGGCTTGTGGGAGGTAAGGGAGGGGCTTGTGGGAGGTAAGGGAGGGGCTTGTGGGAGGTAAGGGAGGGGCTGGCAGGGGGTCCAGGGAGGCTTCACTGAGATGTAAGCTGTGCTGCCGGCCACACAGAGCACCGCTCTCCGCAGGCTATGACTCCATGGGCTACGAGATGTCCAAGCCGGACCTCCGCGCCGAGCTGGAAGCCGACCTGAAGCTGATCTGCGAGGGGAAGAAGGATAAGTCTGTGGTTCTCAGGCAGCAGATCCAGAAATACAGGACGGTTTTCACCGAAGCAGTGGCTAAAGCTAAGAAGTGAGTGCACGCGGGGAGGCACATTTCCCCAAGAGGTGGGAAGGCCAGTCCATCCTCACCTGCGGCCTCGGCCTGCCTCCTCCCCGGCATTTCCTCCTGAGCTCAGCGTGTTCCTTTCCGTGGAGTTTTGTCAATATTGAAACCAACGGAGAGACCTGGTCCAGTTATTCTGGGCTCCTGGCCAAACACCATCCTCCTGATTCAATTGTTTTGAATTAGTAGCGCACAGTCATACACCAGTAAGCCAGGTGCTGGGGTAGGAGTTGTTCTCAGGGAGGGGCCATTCAGCAAGCAGCGAGTGTGTGTTAGAAGGTGTTCTGCCCTTCGTGAATGAATGAGCTGGTCGGAACCAGACAGGACTTCAGGGCGGAGCCTGGGCCTGTGCGGTTTGTTTGATGTGAGGCCACTGACCGGTAGGGCTGCCTCCCTGGTGCTGTCCGTCACCCAGGCAGGCCAGGGCCGCATGGCCAGTGCAGTCCTGTGCCCGCCTCCCTCCTGTGCAGCGGCCTGGGCTGGGCAGCCAGCTGGTTCCCGGGTCACACGTGTTAAATGCACATAAGAATGTTGCAAATGCTTTGCTGTTTCTTCAGATTGGACGAAGCCTTGTCCCAGTACTTTGGGGAACGGGCAGAGGTGCCTCAGCAAGAAGCCATCTACCCAGCGATGCCAGCTCCTGTCAGGAAGTGCCCGCAGTGCAACAAGGACATGGTCCTCAAGACCAAGAAGAGTGGCGGGTCAGTGCCCAGCCTGGCCCCACTGCTCGCCTCGCACCTGCCAGTTTGGCCAGACAGCTGCCCGCCCCCTTTTCTCTTTCCTTAATCCTCACCCCAGAGTATTTTCCCCCTGGCTTTTAGAGGGCGTGGGGGTGAGGGAAAGACAGAAACACCGATGTGAGTTGCCTCCCGCACGAGCCCCGACCAGGGCCTGGGCCAGGGAGGAGCCTGCCACCGAGTTATGTGCCCTTGACCGGAATCGAACCTGGACCCGTTGGTCCACAGGCCGATGCTCTATCCACTGAGCACACCTGCCAGGGCAGCAGTTCATTTTTTTTTTTATTTTTTTTTTTTAATATATTTTATTGAGTTTTTACAGAGAGGGATAGAGAGCTAGAAACATCGATGAGAGAGAATCATCAATCAGCTGCCTCCTGCACACCTCCCACTGGAGGTACATGCCTGCAACCAAGGTACATGCCCTTGACCAGAATCGAACCTGGGACCTTTCAGTCCGCAGGCCAGCGCTCTATTCACTGAGTCAAACTGGCTTCGGCGAGCAGTTCATTTTTTAGGGCGGCGGGCAATACATGCCGGCGGTATTTCCAAGTGATTCACTTCCAAGGACTGTGTCTATGTCCGTCCTCCGGGCGCATGCCCTCTGCCCTGCTGCAGAGACGCACGCTTGCAGCCTGTCCCCCTGGAAGGCCCGGCCTGAGCCCTCCCGTCGCCTCACACCTCGCCTGCCTCTGTCTGGAGGACGGCAGCCCTTCACCTGTCGGGTGTCTTCCTCCTGCGGATGCTGGGCCAGGGCTCACTGCTGCCCGTGCCCGCCTCTGGTGCTGGGCCTGACGGAGGGACAGCCGCTCAGCCTGTCGCCTCCGCCTGCAGTGGGCCTGCTCCCGGCCCAGGGCCTCCCTGAGCAACGCCTCTTCTCGGGCCTGGACCCCTGGTGTCCGGGAGGGGGGGGGGGGCGGTGTGAGACATGAGGGGCAGCAAGTGCGTCTTCCAGGGTGGCATGGATGTGTGTGTTGATCCCAGCAGTTCCAGGCTTAGAACTATAATGTGGTGCATGGCATATCCCACTGCCCGCCTGGCACCTTGTAATGTGGAGAGAATTGAATTAAAGCTATTTTTTCAGTACATTTTTAAATTGATTTTAGAGAGGAAGGGAGGGGGAAAGAGGGAGAAATTTCGATCGGCTGTCTCCTGCACGCCCCCAACTAGGGATTGATCTTGCAACTTGGGCACGTGCCCTGACAGGGAATTGAACTGGAGCCTTTCAGGGCACAGTACAGTGCCCAGCCCTGAGCCACCCATTCTGGGCTTGAGCTATCTTGTAACAACTCTGTCTTCGCAGGCTTTCTGTTCATGTAGAAGGCAGCTTGGCCAGTCTATACTGGACTTTGAATAAATTCTCATATTCTGAGGGGGTGGGGGGGAGAAAAAAATGTTCTTGCCAGATGGGTGACAGCTGGGACTGTCTCCCCCAGTTCCCGTTTCTGCCTGACCCTGGTCCCTGTGCCCCCAGGTTCTACCTCAGCTGCACGGGCTTCCCGGAGTGTCGGTCAGTCGTGTGGCTCCCTGACTTCGTGCTGGAGGCAAGCAGGGATGAGAGTGTGTGCCCGGTGTGCCAGCCACAGCCCGTTCACAGGTGAGCGGGCCGGAGCCGGCATCAGGAGGGGGGCACACTCAGGGCCTCTCGTTCCCAGGCCCGCGGAGTGTTTGCTCGTGGCGCCAGGCAGCAGGTCTCCGTTGGGGTAGGTCCCACTGGTGCCTGTCGGTGTGGGAGTCAGGTCCTGGGTCGCCTCAAGAGGAGGAACCATGAAGCCCCGGGCCTGGCCTCTTCTGCTCGATCTCCAACGTGTGCGCACGGCGCACATCCCCACGCTCTTCCCAGCCCAGCTCCCACGGAGGGTGGCCCTCGCACCTGGCCATGACCCCTTCCATTGGTAACAGTCATTGAGGGATGTTATCAGTACTCACCAAGTTAAAGTGTAGACATCTAAAATTGAGCTTATTAATTTGTTTATAACGTACATTGCACACTAACATAAATAACATGTTTTTAAGTTAAAATGCCTATTTTCCAAAGCAAAACAGTAATAAGAATGCATAGCTTTCCATTTTTGGAAGTCTGATGCCTGGCTTAAGGGAGACAACTGGACTCGCATGCCTGCTCCCATACTGTCTGCTGGGTTCGCTGCATGTGTTGTAGCCTCTGAGAAACCCCACCGCGCTCCCTTGGAAGAGTAAGAGCAGAGCAGACGCGGCATTGTTACAAAGTACGCTCGGCCTCGCCTTGAACGGCCAGGAAGCGCAGAGGCCGCTGGCGCGCACTTGGAAGCCACTGGTGCCGCTGCGCCTTGCAGAGGCCCCTCTGCTCCTGTGGAGACCAGGGGGGCTGGTGGTTGGCTGGTGCATTATGGGATGCCAAGGGGAGACCTCAGGCAGGTCCCGCCCTCTGGGGACAAGGAGAAGACTCTGCACCTGGTAGTAAATGTGTCTCCTTACCTTCTGGCCTCATTAGGTTGAAGTTAAAGTTTAAACGTGGTAGCCTTCCTCCGACTATGCCTCTGGAGTTTGTCGGCTGCATCGGCGGATGTGATGAGACCCTGAGGGAGATCTTGAACCTGAGGTTTTCCCAGGGCCCCCCCAGAGCTTGCCCGCCTGCCAACCAGCCCTCTGGCTACCTGCAGGCTAGCCAGTCTCTGAACCGAATGGACAGCAGCCAGCACGGCCACCCGCAGCCCCCCGACACCAGGCAGCCCAGGCCCTTGAAGGCTCTGGTCCAGAATCTACCACCAGCCACTGGTGCTGGTGAAAGTGACTCCGTGGTCTGCAACTGTGGCCAAGAGGCCGTGCTGCTCACCGTCCGGAAGGAGGGCCCCAACCAGGGCCGGCAGTTCTACAAGTGCCCTGCTGGCAGCTGCAGCTTCTTCCTGTGGGCCAGCGGCGGCCATCCGGACCCTCCCTCCGCACCGAGACCCCCTGGCGGCTCGCTGGGACGGCCCGCTGGCTCGGGGAACCGCCCCGGTGGGGTTGGTGGCCCTGGGGATAACTCTGGCGGTGGCACGTCCTGCCTCTGTAGTCAGGCCACTGTCACACGGACGGTGCAGAAGGACGGGCCCAACAAGGGCCGCCAGTTCCACACGTGTGCCAAGCCGAGGGAGCAGCAGTGCGGCTTCTTTCAGTGGGTGGACGAGAACGTGGCGCCAGGTGAGGAGTGGCCTCCCCCCAGCGGCCCGCAGCGGGCAGGGGGCAGGGGGCTGGGTGGGCGGGCGGACGGGCCCTGCTCAGAGACCTCGGAGCTGTGTGATGGGAGTGTGAGCATCAGGCTGGCTTGCTCCTCCATCTGTGTCCCAAAACAAAGGGTGCCCACGGGAGTCTGGTAGCTTGCTGTCCTCCATCCTCACCGGTAAGCCTGGTCACAGTTACACACATGAGGAAGTGACTTTGCTCAGGGTCTCACAGCGACTTGAGAGTAGGTCGGCCTAATCCCCGCCCCGAAACCCTGTAGCCTTTGTAACCCTGCAGGGTCACTTCCATCAGCCTCGTCTTCAGGGAAGAAACTGGCTCTGACGATGTCTAGGAACCTGCCCAAGGTTATAAACTGGCCTGAGTGTGGCACCCCAAACGGGTCTGTGAGACCGGCACCGGGTGTCGGTCCAGGAGGTAGTGAAGGCACAGAGAAGTGGCCTGCCTGCTCTCGTGTGCAGCAGAGCGTAAGTTCTGAGCAAGACAAAGGCCTCATGGGAGCTTGTCACGTGCTGGTCCTACAGCCCAGCAGTTTGACCTTGAACACAGGACCTGGTCTCAGCCTTGGTTTCCTCAATAAGATGGGCACCTGTCTGTCTCCATCAGAGCTCCTGAAGGCGCTCAGTCTCAGGCTGTGGCTCTAACATGTCACAGCTCTGAACACACAGGAAGAACCCAGAGCAAGCAGGTCAAATGCAAAGGCTAACACGGGCCAAACAAGGGTTAGTGTATGTGGCCGCAAAAGAACAAAAGCTTCTGTTCCCACAGAAACGGGCTTGTTTGGAGAGTCCAGTGTAAAGCCCATGAGCCATCTGCGTCCCGGGAAGGATGCTCTCTTCCCGGCTTGGCCTCTCCCCTGCCCTCCCGCCTCGGGGGGAAGCTTAGGCGCAGTGATCACTTTCAAAACTGACTCCAGGTGAAAGTCACTCTGGATCTGACAGGAGATAGTTCCTTCCACGATTGCAAATAACTGCTCATACGGGTATATTGGCTGGGCTGCAAAAATATTCATTGTGGCTGCATGAGACCCACGGGCCACAAGTTTGACATGCTTGACCCAGAAGGCTCAGTAAAAAAGTATGGGGCTGGTTTGGCGGGTGTGGCTCAGCAGTTGAATGTCGACCCAGTAACCAAGAGGTTGCCAGTTTGATTTCTGGTCGGGGCATATGCCTGGGATGCAGGTTTGATCTCCAGTGGGAGGCATGTATGAGGCAGCCAATCAATGATCATTTTTAGAGAGGGACTAATATCAATCTCTCACCATTGATGTTACTATCTCTATCCCTCTCCCTTCCTCTCTCTAAAAGTGAATAAAATTTTTTTAAAGTGCAGGGCTGGCTGCCAGAGCCAGAGGGCCCTGCTGGGACAGACTCCCATTTGCGTGGAGAGTTCAGACGCAGAGCCACTCCTCCCGCTGAGAGGAAGCAGGTCTGCCCCCCAGGCCAGCTGACCGCTCCCCGGCTGACAGGCCGTCAGCACAGGCTGCGGAGGGACTGGCAGGACCCAGAGCGGGTTTCTTTGCGTGGAAGGTGGGGTACGGGGTGGTCACAGGCCCTCTTGTCTTTGCTGCCCCACCTCCTGACCTCAGGCCAGCCTCTTGCTTGGGTTCCGCTTCAGTAGGAGGGGCAGCGCTCATTTCCAGCACCACATGGGCCGCCTCCAGAGCTCAGGGCCTCCGCAGGGGTCTGTGTGCTGTGCAGAGCAGGGGCCTGGTCTGGGGTGGCGGTGAGTATGGAAAGGAACCTGCATTTCCTTCCAGGTCAGTGTGACTTTCCCTGGCTCCTCCCACAGGGACTTCTGGAGCCGTGCCCTGGCCAGGAGGCGGCGGGAGACCCCACGGGCCCCAGCCCACGAGCAAGAGAGCGCGGGCCGGCTCCTCCGACCCAGGTTCCACGGCCAAGAAACCTCGGAAATGCAGCCTTTGCCACCAGCCTGGACACACCCGCCCCTTCTGCCCTCAGGGCCGAGGAGGGTGAACGGCATGTCCTCTTGTTTCCCGGAGGAGCTGTCTTCCTAGGACCCAGCGGCCCTTCACCCCCTGGGGGGCAGGGGGCTGCAGCCGGCCTGTGGTAAGGAGTCAGGTCCAGGCTGCTCCTCCAGAAGGCCACCCTGTGCCTGGGCTCCAGGTGGCCATGCCGCTGCCGAGGAGGCCCCGAAGCTGCCGGGATCCCCGCCCCCGAGGTCCTGTTGGCGGCAGCTGTGGCCTCCGGGCCTCGGCGCCTCCCTGAGACCAGCACACCGTGGCTCAGGCGCAGGGAGGGCTTCTCCACTGACATACTGGGAAGGGGCTCTTGCTCTAGAACTGTCTACAGAAGTCTTTCTCCCTGATCTAGAAGCCTCTGTGGCCAGGACACGCCTGCTCAGGTGCCTTAATAAAGAGTTTCACCCTTCACTCTGGCGGCTCAGGTGCGGAGTCTGGGGAACGTGGCAGAAGCAGGGGGTGTAGATACAGCCAGTGCCCAGGGGACTCTTGCCAGCCTCTGGCCCTCATGGTCTCCCTCCAGCCGGTGCCTTTTTCCCGACAACATGGCAAGCGGTAAGCCCAGCTTCTCTCACCTTGTCCTGCAGGGAAGGTAACAGTGCGATTCAGATCTGCCTCCCTCCCCTCCAAAGGCCACCGTGCCTGCCCCGTTACCGGCCCTGTGCACAGCACTCAGCGCACTGGCTCTGGGAGGGTGAGGCCAGCAGAGCGGTGGGAGCCGCCAGTCACGTCCAACTGCCGAACAAGTGACTCCTTAGGTCGTGGGACACCCGGGCCCGTCCTCGGGGGGACACCCGGGCCTGTCCTCGGGGGGACGTCCGGCCCCGTCCTCTGGGGGGATGCCTGGGCCCATCCTCAGGGGGACGCCCGGCCCGTCCTCTGGGGGACGCCCAGGCCTCGTCCTCGGGGGGACGCCCGGGCCTCGTCCTCGGGGGGACGCCCGGGCCTCGTCCTCGGGGGGACGCCCGGCCCCGTTCGGGGGGGACGCCCGGCCCGGCCCGTCCTCGGGGGGAAGCCGGGGCCCATTCGGGGGGGGGGACGCCTGGCCCCGTCCTCTGGGGGGACTTCCGGGCCCCGTCCTCGGGGGGACGCCCGGCCCCATCCTCTGGGGGGACTCCCGGCCTCGTCCTCGGGGGGACGCCCGGGCCCTTCCTCGGGGGGACGCCCAGCCCTGTCCTCGGGGGGGCGCCTTGCTGCGCTGGTGGTGGGGGAGGGGAGGCAGGCGGACGACGTTTAGAGGATTTGGGCTTCCCCCAGACCCGGAAATCACCAGTCCATATTCTATCTCTGGTCCTACCAATTCTGAACATTTCATATAAATGGAATCGTAAGTGCCCAGCCAGTGTGTCCCAGTGGTGGCTGACCATGAACCAGAAGGTCACCAGTTCGATTTCGGGTCATGCCTGGGTTGGAGGCTTGATTCCCCAGTGTGGGACGTGCAGGAGGCAGCCCATCAATGATTCTCATCATGTTCCTATCTCCCTCTCCCTTCCTCTCTTAAAATAAATGGAGTCATACAGAATATGACCTCCTGTGCTTTGTAAGGTTAATCCACATAGAACCTTGGACCCTCGTTCCTTTTTGATGACTGAACGAGGGGCCCAGTGCAGGAATGTGTGCATCGTGAAAGGAACATGGGCCCCAAAGCTGCAGTGGCCACTGGGGCAGGTCTCGGCCCATCTTCCACAGCCCCCAAGCCCTGTCCCCTCCACCAGCAGCCCCACTCTTGCTGCTGCCGCTGCCACACACCAACGGCACTGGCTCTGCGCACACCCACTGATGGTGCAGAGCGATTGGGGTCTGCACCTTGAGCAGGTGCAAGCAGCCACTGCTGCCCTGATCACCCCTCGGGAGCAGGGGGAGGTGAAGAAGCCCTCCAGGTGACTGGAGCAGGCAGCTGCTGCTCACACCTGCTGACAGTACCAAGCAATAGGGACCGGGGCTGGGCACCAGCACAGGGGCAGGGGGAGGTGAAGAAGCCCTGAGGGGCAGTCAGGGCTAGCAGCAGCTGCTCGTACCTGCTAATGGTGCCAAGTGACCAGGGCCATCACTGGGCACCAGCAGCAGGTGTGAGCCCCCGGGCAGGACTGTGTGCACAGCAGCAAAGAATTTTCAGTAATCACCAGAATCTTGCCCTGATGACAGTGACTGGGTCCCTGCTTGGTCTGGCACCCCCACTCACCTGCTCCATCATCCCACCGCGGCCACCACCCACCATGTTCCGTAAATGTTCCCTGGTGGTCAGCACACATCATAGTGACCGTTGGGTCTATTTGCATATTAGGGTTTTATATATATAGACTATAGATAGGCTCGGTGCACGAAATTTGTGCATGGGGGCATGTCCCTCAGTCCAGCCTGCACCCTCTATAATCTGGGACCCCTCAAGGGATCGGGCTTAAACAGGCAGTCATATATCCCTCTCACAATCCAGGAGCGCTGGCTAACTGCTCGCCTGCCTACTTTCCTGATTTCCTCTAATTGCTTCCTGCCTGCCAACCTGATCACCCCCTAACCACTCCCTTGACAGCCTGGTTGATGTCTAACTGCTCCCCTGCCAGCCTATTTGCCCCCAACTTCCCTCTGCTGGCCTGGTCCCTCCCAACTGCCCTCCACTGCTAGCCTGATCACCCTCAACTGCCATCCCTTGCAGGCCTGGTCCCTCCTAAAAGCCCTCCCCTGCTGGCCATCTTGTGGTGGCCATCTTGTGTCTACATGGGAGCAGGATCTTTGACCACAAGGGGACAACCATCTTGTGTGTTGGAGTGATGGTCAATCTGCATGTTACTCTTTTATTATGATGATATTCCATCATATGGATGTACTATATTGTGTTCATTAATTTGCTGATGGACATTTGGGTTATTAATTACCTTTAGCTAGTGTGAATAGTGCTGCTATATACATTCAAGTATAAGTATTTGAACACCTGTCTAATTCTTTCCAGTATATATGTAGGAGCGGAATTACTGGGTCACGTGGTAATTCTGTTTCACTAACACATGGTTTTCCACAGCAGCTTTATACCATTTTACATCCCCATCACCAATGCACGAGGGTCCTATTTCTCTACAGTCTTACCAATAATTATTTCCTTTTTAAAAAATTATGGCCACCCTAGTGTGTGTGAAGTGATAGCTCATTGTGGTACTGACTTGCATTTTCAAAATGACCACTGATGTTGAACTTGTGCTTGTGGCTATTTGTATATCTTTGACAGTTACCTACTCAAGTCTTTTGTCCATTTTTCAATTGGGTCGTCTTCATTGTTGAGTTGTAGTTCTTTACAGACTCGAGATACTAGAGGCATTTGTGAGTTCTACTCTTTGTACAGGTGACGCCTATATGTGCCAAGACCAAGAACTGCTCGATTGGGCTGTGCCAGGGCAAACTCAGCTCAGGTCCTGGCGCCCCAATGACAGTGCTGTGCCCTCATCACTGAACCCAAGTGGCCTCGCCTGAGACACCTGGTGCTAGTCAACTGGGGACGCTTTGGTGGAGGATTCCAGGCTTGACTGTAGTGAGGACTTCACAAATAAAAGCCTGTGAGGGAAACATATAGAAATAAAAGCCTGTGAGGGACTTTCTTGTGTCTCTTGACTCATGCTAGCAGCATTCGGCGCACTGAGAAGTGGATCCTTCCCCCGACTGACAGAAGATTTGAACCCCATCTACAGCTGCACAGGCAGGACAGGATAAAATGACCCCCACTTACTAAGCCCCAGCCATGAGCCACAACTAGGAACTAGGCCATCTAATTGCGCTGTTTCTCAGCCTCCAGCTCCACTGCAAGGGACACAGGCTCTTCCTCTCCGAGCAGCTAAGCGGACTGAAACTGTCTCCGCCTGCATGCTACCCTCTTAGAAATGCAGTGTTCTCTCTGCCACAGCCACCGCTGCCTCAGAGAAGAGGCGCTCTGGCTGATGTATCTTGCACTTCCCTGAGGCACCCCTTCTTGCCCCAGTCTGAGAACTAGTGAGAGTGGCCGCATCGCACAGCTGCTGCTGGCGGAGGGCGCCTGAATTGGATGCTCACTGCTCTTGAGCAGCTGGAATCTAAAAATATAAGTTCTGTCACCCTGGCAGCCAGACAGTCTCAGCATTGCAGTCGCTTCAGGCATCAGCTCGGCACTGAGGCCTGCTCCCCTTTGGGGCGAATTGAAAGCTGCCTTCCCTTGTAGGGCTGCTGCAGCCCAGAACGTCAGCTGTTCGGGACCAAGGACTCTGACGAATACACAGGCGGCATGGGTCAATGAGCACACCGGGTGGTGCCACGTGCCCCATTGGCCATCCTGCGAGGGACATGCCTGCCTCGGACCACTCAAGTTCACACGGAGGTGGCTGGGGGTAGCCTGGAGAGTTTGGTGCAAAAGCACACAAGTGGGAGAGTCAGATTCTGGCCTTCCTGCTGTGAGGCTCCAGCCAACCACACTGTTACCTCAGGAAGTTGGCAGCAGTGCAGAGGTGACCCAAACACCGTCCGCAGGGCCATTTGTTGGCTTTGGAATACACTCTGGGTGTCATCCACGACACCCTTAGCTTCCTCATTGAACTAAGTGCAACCAAATTGTGATGTTACCGGGGTTTTTTAAAAAGCTAATTTTCTGATTAGAAAATAAGTATATTTTTTTGCCCTAGCTGGTTTAGCTTAGTGGATAGAGTGTTGGCCTATGCACTGAAGTGTTCCAGGTTCAATTCCAGTCAAGGGCACATGCCTGGGTTGTGGGCTCGATCCCCAGTAGCAGCCGGCTGATCAATGATTCTCTCATCATTGATGTTTCTCTCTCTCTCTCTCTCTCTCTCTCTCTCTCTCTCTCTCTCCCTCCCTCCCTCCCTCCCTCCCTCCCTCCCTCCCTCTCTAAAATCAATAAAAATACTTTTAAAAATCTATAAATATAAAAGACCAAATGTCTGTCCGACCGGTAGCTATGATGCTCACTGACCACTAGGGGGCAGATGCTCAACACAGGGATAATGACATTACGTAGCAATTCCCAGCTTCCTCTCCCTAGTGACTAGCCTCCTTGCAGTTTCTTCAGTCCAGGAACATGACTTGCTTTATAGCCAGGTGCAAACACTTCACACTTTAACCAAATGTCTGTGAAGTGTTTTCCATGCCTCATCTCATTTGATCCTCACAGAAGTCCTGGAGTAGGGAGATAGGAGACTCAAGGGAATACTATTTTCATTAGCCGGAAAACGGAGATGACCCAACTGAAAAGAAGTAAGAAGTGGTGGACCTTGAAAATTACTTCAGGTTTTCTCATTGTGCAGAATATAGTCAAACACTGCTGCAAGTTAAATATTTTACCCTTTGTTTTCCCTGCATGATCTACAATAATAATCTGCTTCATGTTGATGTTTATTGCTGAGTTGCTGTTAAATACCTGGAAGAGATGTTGGAGTGCTTCACTGGGCTGGAAAAAGTTGAACTATATCAGAAAGCAGGTCTAATTAAGCAAGTTTATTCCATATATAAAAGGCCAAGTTGACTAGCACATGCATGATACGTATAAAGCTCTCACTGGTGCCAATCACATGCATGTGTTTCAATCTGTCATTGTCGATTATAAATTTGGTTGACACTTCTATTATAAAGGGTGAATAGTGATATTAAAATATTACTTTTAATTAATTTCCTTTCAATGTGCATGAATCTTTGCATCAGGACACTAATATTCTTATATAATAAAGTGGTAATATGCAAATAGACCAAGCAGGAACCACCAAACAACCAATCAAAGTGTAATATGCTAATGACATGCTAAGTCTGCTCAACCACTCGCTATGACACGCACTGACCACCAGGAAGCAGATGCTCCGACTGGAAGGTTAGCTTGCTGCTGGGTCCAGCCGATCAGGACTGAACGAGATGAGCTGGACATGCCCTGGAGCCCTCCCACGGTCCCTCCCTGGCCCAATGGTGCACTGGCGGGGTCCTTCAGCCTGGCCTGTGCCCTCTGGCAATCCAGGACCCCTTGGGGGATATCAGAGAGCTGGTTTTAGCCCAATCCTGCTGGCTACTCCTCTTGAGAGGATGTCAGACACAGGGCTCATGGCTGGCGAGCGCTGCTGTGGCAGCGAGAGCCTCTCATGATCAGGACTGATTGGGCGCAAGCCCACGGCAGGCACAGTGGGGCCAGGATGAGTGGTAGTGGCAGGTAGGAGCTGCAGGTGGCATTGGACTGTGGGTTTCGGCCCAATCCCTGCAGGCCACTCAGAGGGGCCTCTAGTATATATATATTTTTGAAAAATGCAAATGTGTCATGTACCAAGTTGAAGGCCCCTTGTTTTAAAACGGAGCAAAAGTGAAGCAATAGCCGAAACCAGTTTGGCTCAGTGGTAGAGCGTCGGTCTGTGGACTGAAAGGTTCCAGGTTCGATACCGGTCAGGGGATGTATGTTGGTTGCGGGCACATCCCCAGTAGGGGGTGTGCAAGAGGTAGCTGGTTGATGTTTCTCTCTCATCAACGTTTCTAGCTCTCTATCCCTCTCTCTTCCTCTCTGTAAGAAATCAATAAAAATATATTATAAAAAAAAAAAGTGGAGTAGTAGCCCTAGATTACGGACTCTGGGGTGAGCTGTGCCTGGCCTGGTCTCTTGACCTTGGGCATAGTGCCCTTCCCATATGTGGAGGAGCTTGATCTGCTCCCTTGGGCTCCACGCCTGGCCTCACAGCCAGCTAAGTGCTGGGGTTTCAAGGGCCCATCTGGACCCAAAAGGCAGGAGGTGCTCTCCTAGTGTGGCTTGCACGCTAGCTCACAGGCAGTTATGCTGGAGGTACACTCGGGCCTGCTAAGGTCTTTGAACCAGGGGTTCCTGAGCTGCCACTGAATCAGCTTCATTTTGCCTCAGCTCATACCAGGGAGACGGAGCCCCGGACACAGGCATCGCTAGTGGGAGAGGAGTCACACTTAAATTCTCCACTCCAAGTAAGATCTTACTAAGGGAGAGTAGAATGCGGGACACGGCAGTGAAGGCTGGTGCTGGTTTAGAGGTGGATTGCATGCTTCTGTCTACGTAAGGCAGCCACTTCCCCTTTCTGCCCCGCTCTGGCCCGGCACAGCTCAGGGCGTGGTGGTTTTCTGGGCTGCTGGCTGAAGTCCTTTCAGAATGCAGTTTGGCAAGATCCTTCAGGATCTGCCGAGATTCGGCATCAACCCATGAACCAGGAGGTCACAATTCTATTCCCGGTCAGGGCCCATGCCTGGGTTTCAGGCTCTATTCCCGGTAGGGGGTGTGCAGGAGGCAGTTGATCCATGATTCTCTCTCATCACAGATGTTTCTATCCCTCCCTCTCCCTTCCTCTTGCAATCAATAAAAATGTATTTTAAAAAATTGAGATCCTTCAGGATCTGAACAAGTTTGAATGCTTTCCATGGCCAGGAATCTCCTAATGAGGGAGACACTGTGCACAAAGACCTCAGGGCTTACGGCTAAAACAAATGGCAGGTCTACTCAAGGATGTCTATTCCTCCAGCAGAGAGGATGCTGTGCAGCTGAGGATTCTGTTGCTGTTCTGAGCAGCTAAGTGCTTCTGAGGAGGCACCCTTAGGAGTGAAGTAAAAGGAAATGTTTCTATGCAGGAAGTTATTCCTGAGCCATGTGGGTGACACTTCAAACCATGACTTTCATTCTGAGCAGGTGGCACCACAACTGCGGGCCTGGGCCCTGGGCAACACTAAAACAGGCCAGGACGACAACTGTCAGGCTGCCCACTACAGCTGAGGTCTGCGTACACGATGTTCAGACCGAGACGCACCTGGCACAGAGCTGGCATCATCCTTGCATCAAAGGGAATCCGTGTAATGGTAGCAACAACCCCTGCGCCTGGCACAGACCAGGACTGAGCCAGCCAGACATAAGCTCCTGCAAAGGCTCCTAGCAAAACAGTGATTTGTTTCTAGCTCTCGGCTAGAAAGTCAAGTCCCAGATGTTAACCGAGTATCGGCGATGTAACCACAAACACCTCATTTCTCTTTTAATTCATCCCTGTTTTTTTCACTGAAATCACGGTGTTTGGGGAAATTCAGAGCTACCTCAAGTGGGAGGTCTCTGCACCGTCCCAGCCACGCCAGGCCAGCCTCCAGCAGGTACCAGATGTCCTTAGGAGCCCGCCATGGCAGAGGCAGCCTGGTGGCGGAGGCATCCTTGTGCTCCGGCTCCGTCTGTGAGCGAGGCACCAAGGCCCAGCAGCCTCCGGTTTGGGGAGGCATTCATTCTGGGCCAGGCTCCGGACTAACGCTCCCACCAGCACTTACTCCTCGCAGCCACCCTAGGAAATAGGTATTATGACGAGAATACAATGCACAGCTGCTGCCTCCAGCCTGTCCCTTGCCAACCCTAGGCTGCCATTAACAGCTGCTTAAGGCTCTCTTTGCACCAGCTCCTGAGACAAGTTATCTGAATGGCCCTCAGCTAAGCCAGTCTCCTGCCCTTTGACCCTTGTCATAGCCTCTGAGTGCAGTCATCATAATTTCCAGGGGCAGCCCAGGTTCCTGTCCCATAGGCGTCCCTTGGATGACTACTTAGGAAGTACACTGGGTGCGGAGGAGAGGAGGGGAGGAGCATAGCGGTGGTGGCCACACCTTAAGGACAGGGCCTCGTTTGTCATCTGCTGACAAAGGCAGTAAGCCCAGCAATGGACACTGATGCACTTGCTTCCCCGTCTGGACAGGGAGAGAGAGGTCACATTGCTGTCACTCCTGGCGAAGGGCTTTGGGGCAGCTCCAGCTGGAATGAGTGCTGGCAGGAGCGTTGGCCCAGAGCCTGGCACAATCCCAGAAAGCACAGGGGCTTCGAATAAAAAACTCAGGCTTCGGGAAGATACAAAACCCGAGTTGGTTCCCATTACAAAAGCAGAACATCACACCCGCAATGTTGTAACCTCCTTCCATATAAGCTTTTCCAGAGAAATGAGCCCCTCCAGTCCATTCCCAGCCCCTCTGGCCCAGCTTCCAGAACTCCCAACAGTTGCTTTGAGACAGCATGAGTCACACCAAGGCTTGTTTTCTCTTTTATTCTGGTTCACATTCTTTGAGGCACAGCTCGGCTTCAGCAGGAAGGACACCAAGGTAGGAGGCACACGGGAAGGGGAGGCAGCCCTCCCTTCCCTATCCCTGACTCTGCGGGCCCAGGGAGAACACAGGAGTCGGCTGAGCTGTCCGTGTGGCACGGCCCAGGCCCACCTGCCCCACAGGCCTTCCCCTCTCTGGCTGGCGCAGTACAGCTGGCTCTGGGCAAGGCGGGCAGAGCCCTGGCTCCCGGCGGGCAGGGGCTCTCGCAGGGCCCTCCGACTGCCTCTGCATGAGAGAACTCGCCTGATGGAGGGGAAAGGGCCTCACAGGTGTGAGGTGGGCAGCACCCCAAGCTGAGCCCCCACTCCAGGGTGGGGGAGAGGGCTCAATAAGCAAACTAGACCACAGACGACATCAGAAAACACCAGCTTCGAAGTCTGTCAAAAAGCTGCATTCCATGCCACAGCTACCAGGTGACCCTGGCCCGTGGGGATGCACAAACACCGGGTGTTCACCATCCTGCACCAGGCGCCTAGAGATGCCTGGAGCTGGCACCCGAGGAAAGCACCAACTCACCCTCAACAGAAAAACAGAGCTGGCCTTACCCCTGCCGAGGACAGCAGACCATCTGCTGTCAGGGGATCCACTGCTGGTGATGAGGGACCAAGCCCAAGGTCCCGGGTCGGCCCAGAGGACTGAGGGAGTGGGTGTGAGTGGCTGGCCCTCCAGGCTGCCTGAGAGGCAGTGCAGCCCAAGCTCTCTGGGCTCAGAAGGTCCCTGTGATGGCTACCTATGCACATGCTAACCCCGGCCTTAGCCAACACCTTTTCATCCTGGCTAAAAGCAAGAGGAAGGGTGCTCTCCAGCATCAGAACACACGCAGCCTGCCTGCCCCGTCTACAGCAGCCCCTCAGGGGCCTGGAGACCGCGGTACAGCACGTAGCCGAGGCTGTCCACCTCCTCCGGGCACAGGCTGGCGAAGAGGTTCACACCGGGGCTGAAATGGCAGGGCAGGCTGGCCTGCTCCAGGCTGCTGAGGAGCAGCTCCACAGCCTGCAGAAAGCGCTCCCCCAAAACCCCCTCCGCCCAGTCTGCCTCCTCCTCGCCCAGACGGAGAACCACCTGGGTCAGGTGGCCCCGGCTCAGCTGCCTCAGGGCCGGATGGCCTTGGCAGACACGACACAGCAGCAGCAGCAGCCGCTGGCGGGTCCCAACCTCACAGCCATCCAGAGCTCGCAGCCGGGCAGCCTCTGCCGGGTACAAGTCTTGCAGCCAGAAGTTCCCAGCCAGCCCCTCCAGGGGCCAGGCCACGAGGAGCCGGTCGTCGGCACTGGCGCCTGTGATGGCCAGGAACACGGCGACGGTGAGCTCCAGGCGCTCGTGCTGCACCTCCAGCAGCAGCTCCTCCGAAGCCACGCTGGGCCGGACCCAGCACCCGAGAAGGCTGCCGATCACGGGCCAGTTGACGGAGGCGGCCAGTGTCTTGCGGAACAGTTCCAGCAGGACGCGGGAAGAGAGATAGCCACCCACCAAGAAGCGGTCCCAGGGGCTGCTCCCGCGGGGACAGAATTCAAGCTGAGTCCTACGCACAGCCCAGCAGCGAGGGTCCCTGGCCACGGTGTCCATGCCAGGCACCAGGCTCCACAGGCCCGGCTCCAGCACCAGGGGTGCCAGGAGACGCACGTCGTCAGTAGCCCCTGCCTGCAAGCCATCATACAGCGGCCCCCCAGGCACAAGCGCCCCGAAGGGCAGCTCTGGGAACCTGCTCTGCAAGTAGGCCTGCAGCTCGAGGGCAATGTCGCCAGCCAACTGTTTGGCCAGAGCCACGTGGGACCCTGGGATGCTCACGTGGTCTCGCTCGAACGCCAACAGCTTCTCTTGGAAGGTCAGGCACAAGAGTCCTGGGGAGGTAAGCTGAGGAGACGACTGAGGGTCAGCACCTGCAGGCCCCTCTGCAGAGTGAAAGGGCCAGGGAACATGTCAGAAGGCCCTGTGAGGAGCCACGAATCTCCCAGGTCACCAGGTGTGTCCTGGCCTGGGCCTCCTTCCCCTCACCTGTAAGAACCAGCTGAGAAGTGGCACCCAGCTCAAGTCCTCAAGTAGAAAGAATACTTTGATGACAAGTTCTCATTGCCCCAGCTCCCCAACTCTTTGGGGCCAAAACAGTTCATGCAGAGTGCAGTGGGGTCCTGGACCTGTTTCCTGATCTGAGCCCCCATATCATAAGGCTACTGCCCCACTGCGACATCACCCCCAAAGTCCACGTGTCCCAGTGGGTGGCAGAAGGGCAGAAACACACACCATGAAACATGCAGGGAGCCACAGTCCTGGGGGGACAGGGGCTTGCACAGGGCACACAGTCAGTTGGTGGCAGAGCCTGAGTTGCATCTCCTGAGTGTGCCCACCAAAGGGGGACCCACCAGGTTAGAGGGGAAGGGTGCCATTCACCTGAGGCAAAATGTGAGGGGACTGGGAGCAGCACAGGCTGGCTGTGGGCAGCAGGTGAGGGCCGGGGCTGTGGGCGTGGTGTGGCCTTGAGCAGATTCAGTTCCTTCCAACTGTCCTCCAGGCTCGTGGCGTCTGCCTTGGCGTCATCCTCGTCCCGAGAGCTGGCAGCCCTGTCAATGAGCTGCGGGCAGAGTGGCACAGATCAGAGCACCTGAAGCCTGGGCAGCACAGCAAAGCCCCAGGGCAAAGCAAGCAAGCTTGCTGGGTAGAGAAGCAGATGCCAGCTTGGGCGGTCCCCAGCCCCCGCCCGGCCCCACTGCAGGCCCCAGCCCTGTGATCCTCCTCTGGGAGCCCCGGGTGTAACTGGTCCACCGTGGCCTTACCCGCTTCACAGCCAGGGTGGCAATACCCAGCACGGCAGCCCCGCCCACACCCAGCACCAGGCGGGCATTGGCCAGGAGGAAGTCCACAGCACTGCCCAGCATGTCGTCATCATGCCGCTTCCCCCGTCTCTGGGAGAACTCTGCCATGTCTGCCTAAAAGAGAGCCAGGGTGCAAGGACCACTGAGTATGGGCAGCCAGGCAGACACGGCAGGCGAGGGTGGGCACTCTTGTTCCATCATCCTGGGGTCGCTGGCTCAAGCCCACAAGGGGGTTCCTGAGAGCTTCCGCAGAAAGTGGCCACTCACAGGTTTCTGTGAACCCCTTCCCCAACCTGCAAACAACCTACCCCACCAGCAAGTGCGTAAGGCATGTCAAAGGAGCCCAGCACCCCGGCCCCGGGATTCCTGACATCACAGACCCAATAGGAAGGTCTCACATCACTCCAGCTTTACAGACACACACTGCTGGACCACACAGTGAGGAGGGGGTCTGTGGACCCACAACAGCAAACCCTCCAGGGTCTCGCCCCCCGAGAGGCCCTCCGGACAGGTCCTAGAGGCGGCCGCGTCCTGGTGAACCAGGACAGGCACAGCAGGAGGCAGCAAGGCCCAGGGAAATCCACGACTTGGAGCCCTATCCCAGTGGTTGGCAAACTCATTAGTCCACAGAGCCAAATATCCACAGGACAACAATTGAAATTTCTTTTGAGAGTTGAAAACCAACTTCTGCACATGGGCCACAAAGTTTCAATCGCACTGTATGTGTGTGCCCACAGCTGGTATTTTGTGGAAGAGCCACACTCCAGGGGCCAAATAGCTGCATGTGGCTCGAGAGCCGCAGTTTGCCAACCATGACCCTAGACAGCCTGCCCTGGAGGGCCTCTCAGACCTTTGGGGGATCTCAGTGAGGCCAGTTACCTCCAAATCTAGACAGAGTAGCCCCAAGGCAGAGCTATCAAGTCAATGACGGGACTGGTGAGAGGGCCCAGGCTGCCTGGGCAGGAGCTGCCTGTCAGTGGGTATGTGCCAGTCAAGGCCAAAGGCCTCTGCCCCGCGGGCAAAGGAACTGCACACACAGATCCAAACAGAGGACTGGCCGGGGCTCGGCGACAGGGGCCTCTCTGCGCCTCCTGGGCTTGGGACGTTGGGGATGGGGAGCTGTCCTCGGTGTGGGGAGCCAAGCGACAGAGAAGATAAGCTGCGGGCGGTGGGCCGCCCAGGGCTGTTGCCAGGTGGGGGAGAAGCCTGAACCACTTGGGGATTCAGCCCCAGCACCACCCTCCAAGTCTCAGACTATCAACAGGCACCGGGGCCTGGGTTGGTCAAAGGCTGGGGCGCCCACCTGGGCGCAGCAGCTGCCTCCGCCTCCAGCGGAGCCAGGAGTGCCCTTTACAAGTCGCGAAGAGCTTTCCGGCCCGCCTGCCCCACCTGGCGGGCCACGCAGGCCCAGCCCGCAGCTCCAACTCGGGGGAGGGAGCGCGGACAGGCGGTTAAAAATAGCCTTCCCGGCGCCGCCTGTCCTCTCCCCTCTGCCCGCCGGGGTCAGGCTGAGCGGGCCCCGCACAGGCTCCAAGGGCCCCTCCGGGTCGGTCCACAGGGACACGAAGCCCTGAGAAACTGAGTGACGGGCCAGAGACGGGATTCGAACCCCGGCTGGGAGGCCCCAGCCAGGCCACATCATCTCTTTCCTCCGTGAGGCCTGCGTCCTGCGCGCCTCGCCTAGGGCCGGGGACCCCGCGCGGGCCGCTGGCTGCGGTCGTACCTGCGTCCTGGTGTCAGCGCACCTGCCGGCGGGCGCCCCGGGCCTCCCGCGTCCAGCTCCCCGCTGCCCGAGCGTGGAATCTGAACCCGGGAGCCGGCGCCGACTCCGACAGGCACGCAGACGAGCAGGCCCCAAGTCCAATCAGAGCGCGAAGACCCGCCTTCTCTCTCCAAAACACTGAGCGACTCATCCAATGGCGGCCAGGCCACGCCCCGTCGGTTGCGCGCTCCCTGGGGGCGGGACTTTCTGGTGCACCGGCCTTAAAGGAGCCGGGCTGCGTTCGGAGACGTGCAGCGCGGGGCGGGGCCGTCCTTCCCCCGGAGCCCGCGGTGACGCGCGGGCCTGTAACCCGAGCCTCCGCCGTGGGGACGCTCCGGGCCCACATTCCTGCCAGGGGCGGGCGGTCAGGCGGCTGCCGGCCGCGCTGTCCGCTGTCAGGTGACCCTGAGGTCACCTCTGCGAGAGGCCCGCCCGGTGGCCTCGCTCTTCTCACCTCTGGGCCTCTCCGCGCGGGCCGGTTTCCCCTCGTGTGACACGAACACCAGCCCCCACCCTGAGGGTGACTGTGCTCAGCCCGCGGATCACTCACTCGGCATTTACTTATGGGGCCTGTGTGCGGCGGAGGGCGGACAGCGAACAGCGAAGATGTGCTGTCCGCCTGGCATGCCGGCCCCACGGGGAGTCATAACGCGCCCACATCGCGCGCCTGCTTGTGCCCGAGCTGCACCTGCGGCTCTCGTGTCTCTGGCGACAACCTTGGCGGCATTTCCCGGGCGGAGCGGCCGGAGCGGGCCTGGGCTTGAGGGCGCTCGAGGGCCTCAGCCCCGGCCAGGCGACATGGCCCCCCGCCGCCAGGCCCCGGGCGGACAGACCCCGGCGGCCGGGCCGGGCCCCTCAGCGGGCGCAGGGCGGCGGGTGCGGCGGGCGCGCCCCCCGGGGCGCAGGGGCGGCGCCTGCAGGGGGTGAAGCCTCCCGCGCGAGCACGGGGGCGCCCGGACCCTGCAGGCTCCTCCGCTCCTCGCGCAGACGGGGAAACTGAGGCGCGGGGAGGCGGCGCTAAGGCGGCGCGCCGGGCGCCGGGCTGGAGGGTGCGGCCCGCCCCGCCTCCCGCTCGCCGGGGGCGGGGTGAAGGGCGGGGCCCGCTCCCCGCACCGCGCCCGGCGGAGAGCGCGGCGGAGAGCGCGGCGCCATGGAGGCCACCGGGGTGCTGCCGTTCGTGCGCGGCGTGGACCTCAGCGGCAACGACTTCAAGGTGAGCGGCGCGGCGGCGGCCGCCTCCTCCCCGCGCCCCTTCCGCCGCGGCCCGCGCGCCCGCTTCCTGCCGCCGCCGCGGGGCCTGGGCCGCCGACCTGGGCGGGGCCGGGCCGGGCCGGGCCGGGCTCTCGGGGGCCTCCATCTCCCGCTGGGAAGGACTCCCCTCGGCCTCCGTTCCGGGGCGCCGGGAAGGCCGGCTGGGGGCCGGCCGGGCGCTGGGCTGGGCGTCCGGCTGGGGGGCTGGGAGCCCGGGCCGGTCCTGGCGGCGGGGCCCGGGCGGCGGCCTCAGCTCCGCTCCCAGCTGCTCCCGGCCCCGCCGAGGTCGCGCGGAGTCCGGCCCCGACTCCCTGCGCGCAGCGGCACCCGATGCCCCCGGGCCTGGTGCCCTCCGCCGCCGCCCGTTCCGGTGTGATCCTGGGCAAGTCACTTCCCCTCGGGGCTCCGCGGTTTCCTCCTTCCGAGAGAAACGGGGCTGAGAATGGCCCTCCAGAGGCCGGGGCGCGGGCGGAGCGCCGGGCAGCGGTGGGAGGCAGGTGGGAGGATGACCAGGCCACCGGGAGCCTGCCAGCCTGCCAGCCAGCGGGTGGGTGAGGCGGTTTAGAGCAGCAGGCGGGGAGGAGGTGGGCAGGGCCAGTGACTGAGGAGGCAGGCCAGGATGGAGGTGAGAGCTGGCCTGGAACAGGGGGTCAGCCCAGGCTGAAGGGAGGGGGTGGGCAGGCTTAGACCCGAGTCTGTATAGTGTTGGGGAGCCCAGACTTGCTGGGGGCAGGGCCTGTCTAGTCAGGACTGAGGAGGAGGCAGGTTGCATTTATCCACATGTGCACACACTTTTGACCCCTTGCACAGGTGACCACACCACTTTCCTCAACCTCCATCTCCACTCACCTGGGGTCTCCACGTGTCCTTTCCAGATTGGAAGTCTGAGTCCCTGGCTGGGAATGTAGTGTGTGGGGAAGGGGACACAGCCAAGGGCACTAAAAGCATATGCTCCCCAGGCTTCCTGCCACAAGGGCTGGGGTGCTGAGGTGGGCATTCCAATTGGTGGAATGAATGACGAATGAGGCGGTGCCTGTGTAGGCCGGTGGCTGGGGCCTTGCACTGGGGGTTTGGATCTTGCCACAAATAACTTGTAGGCTGATGGCAAGGTAAGGGCACAGGTAGGACCTACGCAGAGGTTCAGGGGCACCCCCATACTTGGCAGAGCCTGGAACACTGGGTGAAGGCATTTGAGCCAAGCTGAGCACACAGCTGGGTGCTGGAGGTGTTCCATCCCAAACCTCCAGCAAGAGACTATCTTAGGCCAACAGCCATCCTAATAACTAGTCATTCCTCACAACAATTCTGTTACAGGGGGCTTTTATCAGCCCTCTTTATGGTGAGGAATTGAGGCTCAGAGTGGCAGAGTGCCTTGTCCAGGGTCACACAGCGGGTGAAATTGGCTCTGTTGCTCCCCAGAGGTTCCCATGGGCATTCGGGGGCCATAGAGGGTGGCAGAGCAGGGACGTTCCTCTCCCAGACCAGCCTCACCATCAATCCCCGCAGGGAGGCTACTTCCCTGAGAATGTCAAGGCCATGACCAGTCTTCGGTGGCTGAAGCTGAACCGCACCGGCCTCTGTTACCTGCCAGAGGAGCTGGCTGCCCTGCAGAAGCTGGTAAGGAGTGTCAGTGGGCAGGGTGGGTGCCCTGGGGGCTGGGCAGGTGGACAAAGCAGACCGAGAACGGTGGTGACAGGTGAACGCCTCAGGGAGATGCGGGGTGTGTGCGGGAGGGCGCTTAGAGGTGGACTGGGCCTGTGTGGCCGAGGGACCCCGAATGGTGCAGTGATGGTGGCAGGTGGAGACGCCATAGACACCCCACTGAGTCCCTGCTCCTTCGTCCTGGCCCAGGAGCACTTGTCTGTGAGCCACAACAACCTGACCACGCTCCATGGGGAGCTGTCCAGCCTGCCATCTCTTCGGGTGAGTGATGCCGGCGGCCACCAAGCTTCGGGGTGGGGACTGGAGTCTAGCCAGGGGTGCGAGGGCAGGGCCAGACCCCAAGCTGGGCCATCACCCCTGCCTGCATCCTTCCCAAAGGGGAGAGAGTATAATAATGTCCTGTGTAGCCTCTGGGTAAAAAAGAGAGGGAATA